GTAACCCCAAAATCATTAAACACAAAAATATTATTTTGTACACGTTATTCTTGTTTCTTGTGTTTCAAGGAACTTTCGTGTTCACAGTTACACCAAATACATCCCCATAAAAGTAACTAGAACATAAACACTCAAAAACCATGACAAATAAGAAAAATATGTAAAAACGTGTGCCAAAGATATATTAACATGAATTGAAGTACCTAATGTATTTAGCGAAATATATATAATGAATTATTGTACCCAAACATCTGCACCGAAATTTATATACCAAAATATCAAAATTTATGCACCAAAATGTATGTATCGAGATATATTATATTGAAATAACGTACCTAAATGTCAATAACAAAATGTATGTACCAAAACGTATGTACCGAAATGTACTATAAATAATCAATGTACCTAAATGTATGTATCAATGGATATATTAGATTATATCAAATGAATTAACGTACCTAAATGAAGAACACAAATTGTGTCAGAATATAGGGTTTTTCTTAGAGGTGCAACTCGGGTGGGTTGGACAGGTTGGAAGGTCAACCTAATCCTAACTCGACTTTTACAATTCAGGCTCGGGTTCGGGTTGGATGTCATTCGAGTTCATTTGGGCTGAGGTTTAATTAGGTTAGGGTTTACTTGGGTTCGGTTCAGATTGCCCAACTTTTTCAAGTTTAATCTTGTAACAACTTAGTTTCCAAAAATTCTTAAAAAAATTAAGCCAATTAGCATCAAAGCTAGCTAACTTTAAGGGTATATTACATAAAACTACCTTAATTATTAGGTCAGTCACAGTTTCATACCTTATCTTTAAAAAATGTCAATGTCATACCTCATCTTACAAATTTGTTACAATTTCATACATTCTGTCAGTTTGTCTGTCTATTCTTTCGTTAAATAGTGACGTGGCTTAAAAAATTTAATAAAATATTAAAAACTAAAAAAATAAAATCATTTAATTTTTTTTTTTGCATGGAGGACCCACCCCTTATCCCCCTCACTTTTTCTTCCCCCTCCCGTCTTCCCCAAACCCAGATCCCACCCACCCCTTATTCCCCACTGCCATTCTTTGCCACATCAGCAATCTCATCCACCACTCCCAGCCCCTCCTCCCTCAACGCACTGGATATCATCTGCACTGCTCTACCTGAGCGCCCGAGCGGGTGGAGGGGCTCCGTGGGCTTAAGTAGTACCAAAAAATGGTGTTGTATCATTGAATTCTTTATTCACAATCTAGTCTCAGAGGAATAAGTTCGAAGATAAGGAGGATGCACCGAACCGGAGCAGAGTCGAAGTGACAGGGATTGCACTGGTGAAGTTGTTTCTGGAGACATTGAAGGTCTGGAGGTTGGACTGGTTTAGCACCAGGACTGGTCCACTGAACCGGTTCCATTCGAGATAAAGGTAGTATAACTGGTCCAGATCGGTGATTAGAAATGTAGGTAATGTTCCGGTGAGGTTGTTGTACGAGAAATTTACGGTTCGGAATAGGTGGACGGAGGAGAACGACGGCGGGAAGGAACCAGCGTGGTTGAGGAAGAGGGTTTTGAGGTGTTGTTCGAGGAACCCGCGAATGAGTTTTGGCGGAAATTGGCATCGTTGGGGTCGGGTTGGACCATAACGCCCCGGAACTCGATGTCCGTGGAAATTAGGGGGAAATCACCGATGATAGATTAGATCAGTTCGAACTCGAACTTGAGGTTATCAGACCATACCAAACGGATCAAGATGTCTTGCCGCAACGGAGGCTTAGGTGGCTGGGGGCTAGATGATGACATCGCATAGGTTCGTCCAGCGACAGAAGGACTGGGAGCAAGGAGAACTCGGTAGGTGCATTGCTCAATTTGTCTAGGTGTAACTGAGAGAAGGCGTTAAGGGAGGTGAGGGAGGAGGGGCTGGGAATGGTGGATAAGATTGCTAATATGGTAGAGAATGGCAGCGGGGAAGAAGAGGTAGGTGGGATCTGGGTTTGGGGAAGACGGAAGAGGGAAGAAAGGGTGAGGGAGATAAGTGGTGGGTCCCCCATGCAAAAAAAATAAAATAAATGATTTTTTTTAATATTTAATTAATTTTTTTAAGCTATGTCACTATTTAACGGAAGAATTGACAGACAAACTAACGAAAGGTATGAAATTGTAATAAATTCGTAAGACGAGGTATGACATTGACATTTTTTAAAGATGAGGTATAAAACTGTGATTGATCTAATAGTTAAGGTAGTTTTATGTAATTTACCCTAACTTTAATTTCATTAATCCATCTACTATAAACCTTTAGGATTTAGAGACTACAAATATAGACTAACTAATCAAAGCCTCTCATTCCCTAAAAGCTTAAATAATTATAAAGGGTAATTTATTTTAAAAAAATACTAGAAAGCGCGTTGGTTTTTGGACTTGGCTCACTTGGGTGTAATATGAGCATTAATTGATATGGGTTACAATCTGATTAAATTGGGTTTGGTTAGTCGGGTTGGGTTAGGGATGGATGGGCAATGATCATCACAACTCAACCTAATCAATGAACGGGTTGAGATTGGGTTGGGTTCGGGCGGGTTATAACTAAAAAAATACCCACTTGTTTGGGTTTAAAGTCGGGTTGGACATGGGCAGGTTTGGACTGCCCCAACCCAAGTTGCACCCCTAACTTGTTCTCACAAATGACCCTTAAAATTGACCCTCATCATCAAGATGGTCATTGAAATTAAAAATCAATCAATGTAGTCCCTGAAAATAAGTATCGCAAATCAATGTGGTCCTTTCGTCACAATTTTGTTAAAAATTCCATTAAGTGCTAATGTGACACATAAATGGACCCCACAAGATTTATGGGTTTTTATCACAAATGATCCCTGAAATTGACCCACACCATCAATATAGTCCCTGAAATTGAAAATCAATCAATGTAGTCCTTGAAAATAAGTGTCGCAAATTAATATGAACACACTTTAGTTATAACCTCATTATCTCAAGGCAGACCTCGTCGTTCTTTGCACCACCAGACCATTAGGGAAGCGCCAAACAAGCTCTCCAAGATTAAGATTGTGAGGATGTTTGATTGCCTAAATGTTAACGAGGATGTCCCAGAAGTCGTTGCCAATGTGTCAAGTTGTCACCAATGGTGATCTTGATCCAAGTTCAATTCGGTGAAGGGTCTCGAAATGTGTATTGAGATTTTTTTTAGAGAATAAATAGCAAATGAGGTTTAGAAGGGTAGACTGGGATCAGAGGTAATTGTAGGACTGGGGTTTTGGGTTGACAATTTTTTTATTAACTACTAAACTATTAAGCCTATTTGTAATTTTTAAATTTAATTAGACTTGTGTGACCCATTTAGGTGTCACATCAGCACATAATGGAAATTTTTATTGAATTGTGACGAAAGAACTACATTGATTTGAGACACTTACTTGCAGGACTACATTGATCAATTTTCAATTTCAGGCACCATTTAGATGTCATAAGTTAATTTCAGGGGCCATTTTGATGTAGTGGGTCAATTTCAATGACCATTTGTGAGAAGAAGAAAAAATGATTTATGTGCCCATTTATGTGCCATATCAGCACTTAACAAATTTTTTTTAATAGAATTGTGATAGAATGACCACATTGATTTGCGACATCTATTTTCAGGGACTACATTGATGATTTTCGATTTCAAGAATCATCTTGATGGTGAGGGTCAATTTCAGGGACTATTTATGATAAAAACCCTTATAATATATTATATAAAAAATTAGTTTACCTAGATGTCTCAAAAAAAATTATAATAATAAATGAAATGAAAATTAGAATTAAAGGTAATTGATACATCAAAATTAGAAGGAAAAAAAAAAGAAATAAAACACCAAAATATAATTGAATTATTAATAAATGAGGAGATTAAATATATCAAGAAAAGAAAATTAGATATTAATTTTACACAAGATTGGAGTCTAAAAGTCATTTTCTCCAAAAATTAAAATGAAGTTTTTTTTTATTATAAATCTAATAATGCCTACTTGCTATCTTATCTTCCCCAGTAACCGTACTCGTTTTGATTTAGACTTTAATTGGATTAATAGTTCACTTGGTGATGGAGTAGTTGGAATTTGGATTAGGATTCTCTCCCCTCTTTTTTCTATCCCATCATCTCACATTTTCTATTTTGTCTTTTTATTTCTATATAAAAAAAATTAATATAAGATGTTGACGTGGCTTAACTATGACCATTCAAATAGGAGGGAAGGGAAAAAAAGAGGGGAGTAAAAAAAAAGGATTTAAGCTTTTGTGTTAAAGTCTGTTAGGATTTGTGCCCAAAATTGAAAATTCTGTCAAAATTCTGTTAATTATTAGCAATTGAGCGAGCCTCACATGTTAACAATTAACGGGGAGGTCTGTTTTAGTCTAATATGTGTATGAAGAGTTCCATTTTAGCTTAATATTTGTGGCTCACGTGCTAATAATTAATAAAAAATTGATGGAATTTAATAAATAATTTTATCTTTCCGTATAAGGTTATAGTATTTTATTTTCTAGAATAGGTCAACTGAAACAGCTCTCGCTCCAACTACAGTTGAAAACAATTTTTATCTAAAACTAAGGTTAATACCACTTGCTAGCCTACTCCTTAAAGACACAAATATTGATTAGCTCAATCCAAATATCAGTGGTTTAATTGCATTTTGCTTGATATTTTGGTCATTTTATGAAATATTTTCTTAAAGAAAAAAGCTTAAAAAGTTTACCATATAAAGTGGGGACAAATTGCCTTGTTAAGAAAATGTTAGGAACTATATATTATGAGAATTGTTATTAGCACTCTAAAAATCTCATTCTACACTCCAAACTTTCTATATTTGGAAAAAAAAAAAAATACTCTTGTAAGGATTATAAAATGAGATTTTTAGAGTGCTTATAATACTTCCTTATATTATTAACAAATTTAGATACAAACTTCACTACTTGGGCACACCCCAGATACCAGCTAATTAATACACCTCCAAATCCAAAACAAACCCTCATCTCTAAATCGCCGCCCTCCTATATATCGCACAATATTTAGCATTAATCTTTTCTACAATCAGTGAAAACAAATATGAAAAAAATTGCACCCTTGATCTTCTTCTACATGGTTTTGCTAATTAAGCCAAAAACATGGATATCGACAGTGACGAAGTATATGATGCCGTTGGAGTTTGCTTTGGCGTCTTCGCCGTAATCGTACTCATATTCTGGATCTCTTTCCGCAACCGGAGACAATCTTCGGTCGACCTGTCGGAGCACTACGAGAGCTCCCCAACCATCGAACAAGGCCTTGATGAAGCAACAATATGTAGCTACCCGAAACTGCTCTACTCTGAGGCCAAAGTGAAAATGGAAGATTCAGTTTCAGCACCTTCTTGCTGTTCTATATGCTTGGCAGATTATGAAGACAAAGATATATTGAGAGGCGTGCCTATCTGCGGCCATTATTTTCATCAAATTTGTGTGGACAAATGGTTGCAGCTCCACCCGACTTGCCCGATTTGCAGAAACTCGCCACTTGATCCGTCTGTGTGCTTGATGATTACTTCTGATGTGTAATGAGTTACTGATAATTAGATGGAATGAAGTTTAGGATTAGTTCATTTTCTTTGACTCATGTATCAGTTGTAAACAATTTCAAGAGTTCTTGTGCAGCAAGAAACATTGATAACAATTTAATAATTGCCATTTGCCAATTAACTTAGATAAATCATGCATCTTTTGATCGGATCTCTCTCTTCTTGTTGATTCGACCACAGTGTTGATTTGATATTTCATGTACTCGTGTCTTAAAAAAAAAAAAAAAAAAAAAAAAAAAAAAACCACTAGAAAGATGGAGTGGAGAAGAAAAGGAAATTATAGTTGATAAGGAAAGTAATCATAAAATTATAAGTCAAGCTCAAACGATCGAGCCAAGCTGAAGCCTAATTCGAGCTAGATCGTTATAAAATTCTAGCTGCTCGACCCGCTTTACAGCCTCTAGAGAAAGAAACGCAAGACCCCCAGGGTAGTCATTAGGCATGAAATCTTCACGCATATCTCCGCATTCAGGTCCAGTGATACAGCAAAATCAGGTGCAGAAAAATCTTCTGTTGAATTACTTTCTCAAAATTGCGACCCAAACTGTCTCGGTCACCTTCTGCCGCGTATCCGCCTCCTGGAATAGCGGTGCTCTCATGGCTCCGGATTCAGATTTCTTCAAACCAAAACACCTTATGCGAGAATTTGGCCCTTCAACGTCATCTCAAAACCATTTTCCAAAGGGTTTGTCAATATCTTCCATTGGAACTCCAGTGTGCCTCTCACACTCTACATCACGGTATCGAATTTCCTACACAGAGAACGTGTGTTTGGCAACATTTCGTACCTTAAATCCACCCATTCCCAACCCCCATTGCCACCCGAGAACTTCATCCTCATCCCTCACCGTAACGGTTTGGACACATCCAATACCACCCATATCCTCAGCACTCTCCAAGCAATCTCCTCCCCTGTTGCAATCAGTAGTGATATATGTACCCAAAGGTCTCTCAATCTCCTCCCCCATCGCTTGTGTCATCAAAACCAGTGGTAGCCCCTTTACTTGTATCCAGAATTCCTGCGTGGTAAGAGGAATTTTGTACGGAGTTTCCAGGTTATCGACTCCGCCAAGACCACAACTATATCTTGAACGTCCATGGTCCACCTCGCAAGATAGCCCTTCTGCGCCATGGAATTAAATGCGAACACAAACAAGTTATCTGCCAAATTGCTTGTGGCAGCGATGGCACTCAAGCAAGCTGGAATTTCTTCGCCTCTAATGGCGGAGGTGATGGCAGCTCGTTCAGCAGTAATGTTTGTTGGAAGTTCAAATAAAAACGTTATTTAAATGTTTGTGTGCTGCTAGCTGTTTTTTGACTCATGCTTCCTGCACTTGCCCAAATTAAATGCTTCTTCTCTGTGCTAGCCGAAATGTGGTTGCAACCACTGGAATAATGTGGTGTGTGTGTTCAAAAGTCTAAAGCTGCCGCAAGTAAAGACTTTGAACACCTTCATTTATTTTGCCTGGATAGATTTCAACACTAGCTAGGTTTAGGAAGTCTTTGTTTGCATTTGTTTATTAAAACCACTTGTGCGGTTCTTCTGTTTTTGCGAGTATAAGAAAGCCTTCCCGTAAGGCTCTTTGTAATCCCATTCCATTTTTAGCAGTTGAGTTTGTAAACACCTTTTAATATATCAAAGTGCAAGTGTTTTGCCGAAGCTTGTTGTTTTCCTCCTTTCTCTATTTCTTTTGTCCAAATTTATTGAGAGTGCAAAGTGAGAGGTGTGATAGAGTTTGTAAACTTATCACCCACATATTTTGGTATTGAGTTAGTAAACTTCTAAATACCAACAATGTTTGCATGAGATATGCATGCCGCATCGGTGGAGTTGGAAGGAGGTGCACAGTTGGTTCTTACGGTGCTACAATGGAATACAGAGGATGATATGCCTCCTTTGGGGCATTTGGTGCATGATGCTGGACACTTCTTCCGTTGAATTCCCCACATAAGGCTGACTTTTACTAAAAGAGAGGCTAACAAGGTTCCACACAGGTTGGCTAGCTTGGGTTCACTCTTAAATGAACAAATGGTGTGGTTCGAGGAACCTCTTGATGTAATCACTGATCTTATGTTTGAGGATAGTATAGCTTTATAATTTTATTGGTGCGGACGCTCTTTTTCTTTTGACCGGGTTGAAATCCACGGCAAGGTTTTTATCAAGACTCTTTTAGTGCACCTTATCCTCTATTTGTACATTTATTTCATTATCGCATCAATGAATTTCATACTTTTTCTCAAAGAAATGCTTGTTTAAGCTTTCCTACCAACAAGAATTTCGAAATTTTGAAATCCTCAGGGTTCTTATCTCCCACAACCACCACCTGGTCCTCCTCTTCAGTCAAAGCAAATTTCGCAGCAAAACTTGATGCAATATCTTCCAACGCTGTTAGCTGTTAACCTATGTAGAATGATGTTCTTGTATACTGTAGAGAAGAAGGAAATGCATAGCACAGAGAAGAAGAAGAATAAAGAAAATGTATGTTACTGAATATATTTCTTGGTGAATAAGTAATACAAGGAAAGCTACTGTTTATACTTTCTTACAACGATCTTATCTAACTACTTAACTAATTCTCTAATCTTATTACAAGTAGCACAATCTCATTCATCCATACTTATACTCTATCACCTCCTCTCAAACTCATGCCTTGAGGATTCAAGCATGAGATTGTTACAATGAGTATGGAACAAAGGTGCACTCAATTCTTTTGTGAATCTCTGCAAATTGTTCTTTAGAAGACAAACAGCACAAAAAGCTGCTTCCTGGCTACCCTTTTCCCTGACAAAATAGACTTCAATTTTAATATGATTTGTCTTTTGATGTTGCACTGGATTGAAGGCCAGGGCAATGGCAGACAAATTATCACAAATAAAACTAGAGCATAAGGCAGAGATACTTGCAGAAAACTGAGATGTTGCTTGATCTGTCAATTTCTGTAGAAGTAGATGATAGAGGCCTGTATTCTGCCTCAGTAGAAGATCTGGAAATAGTCTGTTGCTTCTTGGATGACCAGGAAATGGGATTTGAGCCTAAGAACACAACTAAAACAGTGGACCATCTATCATTGGGATCTCCTGCTCAATTAGTAGAACTAAAAGCCTTTAACAATAAATCTCCTCTGGTATAAGAAATGCCAAAGTGCATAGTACCCTTCAAGTACCTCAAAATCCTTTTTGCAGTGGTAAAATGAGAAACCATTGGACTCTGCATGAACTGACAGACCTGATGCACAGAGACTGCAATATCAAGTAATGTTAATTATTGTAGTGCACCAACAATGGTTCTGTATAGAGCTGGATTTCCATATGGTTGACCATCATCCTTAAGAGTAATAACATTCTCACAACCCCTAACAACACATCTAAATGTGTTACACTCATGAGGCATGCCATTTAATGCAAGGATTACAATGTCCTCATCAGCAAAATAAACCTCTGCAGCTGACAGATAATCCCTAGCCTCAATGATCTTATGCAGATATTGAGATATAGTATCAAACTCTTTCTTAATGGTTAGTTCTAGAGACAGTTGATAATTGTTCTTTCAACCGAGTCCAAAGATCCTTAGAGCTTGAGCTACCAATTGCGCATGACATGGCAATAAGGGAAAGAGTTGCAGTAATAAGCTGCATATTGGCACAGTCATGCATTTTCCAGGCAACAAAAGCATTACTTTCCACAGAAGTAAAAGAGTCAGTAGAATTTATACCAGAATAGGACACGGATTAAAGCCTTCCACAAATCCCATGATGCCATTGCTTTCCAGCAACAATTGCATTTCGAAGTGTCAATTCAAGTAAATGGAGTCATCTTATTTCACATTCATACAGAGGTGAAAATCATAGAGATTAGAGCCGTGATTGGAGATTGAAGGAGTTGAAGTTGCGATGCAGTCACCATTTTCGCAGCAATCAAACCAACAGAGCTTGAATCTTGATGGAAAATTCACTGAAGGCTAGTCAGAAACATCTGGTGTGCACGACTGAGAAATTATAGAAGAAGATCGATCACAGATCAAGATCAACCAAACTCTAGAGACGAAGGGTTTTTGGTTTCAAAAAGACGAACAGAATTATGACTCTAGAATAAATAAGTTCAAAAGACTGCATCCGGCTTCAATTCAAACCCTTCACTTAGTAATCTAAGTGATTAGTGCAGAAGTTTACTAAGTGAAAAGATTCGTGTGATATTTCGCATCGCTTGTACAATGCTTTAGTTGATATCAGGTCAGAAACTTCAACATATGGAAAATGAAGCAGTTTATGGAAATAAAAATACAAGTAGTCTAATTAAACACCAGTTGTACATTTTCTCGCTTGATTATTTACACTCTCACCAATCAATCCCCAAACTAAAGCAGATAAGTTGGGAGGATTAAAAGAAGAGGGAATAAACAACACATACAAAAGTTCACATAGGAAAAGAAACCCTAATTAATCAAAGGTTTAGTTGATTTATTGGATTTTCCTTTTCCCATAACCCACTGTTTAACAAGTTGCTTCAGTCCCTTCTTCTTCTTCTTCTTCTTAATCACATCAATTTGAGTCCTCCTCTCAATCTCACTGATAACAATCTTCTCCTCTTTCTCACTCCTGGCCATCTCCGCTCTCTCTTCTTTCTCTCTCCTCTTGACCATCTCCGCCTCATCATCTCTCTTCCCTTCGGCACTAGTCTCCATAAACTCCTCCTCCAGCTGCATGCACAGCTTCAGCACACGGTCCTCCACGTGATCCAGCCGCTCGAGCAGCGACCCCTTCGCGTTGGTCTCCATCATCACGTGCTCGATCGGACGGCAGTACTTCTCTAGGCTTTCTGGGGAGATCAACTCCGCGGACGATGGCACGTGCCCTCCGTCGCTCGTGAGGGTCCCGCTCGTCCGCGTGGGTGAAGAGGTGCACGAGCTACTCTTGGGAGAATGAGTATGTGAATGTGAATGCGAATGCGAGCCTCGGATTCCTCCAACTGCCTCAGAACGGTGTCGAGCCGGTCCATCCTCGACAGAATTGGTTCCTCAGTAGTGTTGACCATCGTCATTGCCACCATTATCCTCCCGGGAAACAAACACTTCTGCGATTCTTTCCTTTTTTTTCTTTGTTGTTTTAGATACTAGACAAAGATCTGGAATCAAGATGTTCAAGACAGAGGTTGCTTATATACAGAAACGATACGTTGGACAAGTGTTGGCATTGCGATACAGGTGCTAGATAGTTGTTGATAACACGTGTCGTCAATATGAGCTGGAAATAACAGTCGGGCATGCAAAGGACGAGGATTGGCCACCTGTTTCGTGACGTCATGCTGCGCTGGCCTACTGTCAAAGATTGGATTACGATGCAGATTGGAGGATAGAGATACTCAGACTAGAGAAGAAGGAGCAACATTTTTTTAATGTGGAAAAAGTACGATTCGATAAGTTAAGTGTAAAAAATTTATATGTTAGAAAATTTAAAAAGAAATTTGACCAATTATACACTATTATGGTAAAAATACGATTTAATATGTTAAGTATAAAAAATTTATATGTTTAAAAATTTAAAAGAAATTTAACCAATTATATTCTATCAGTTGTATATTGAACCGTATTCTTAATGTACTAAAAATTTCTCCAACTATAAGTTGCATTTTCCTCAATAAAGCATTGATATATGTTGATATTTTTTACATAAAACACTATTAGTCAACATCAAAATTCATTTCATGTACGTAGCTCTCTCAAATAAGGACGTAGTTACTTGTCCGCGGCCTTCGTCCGCGTTTCATTCTTGTGGTCTTGTTGCTTCACAGTTAACAGTTAACACCGATATTTTTCTGAAATATAAGCAATCCGACGTTGATACGTGGCATAGCGCGCGGCCGCAGGAAGGGAGCAAGATGCAAATTTGTCCTGGTTACTTGATTCAGGTTAGGGATTGGGAATTAGGGAGGGAGATGTAAATTTGTCCGAGCACGTTATTTGTGACACATTGTATAAAAATAAACTTACTAAGCAGATCACATTTTTAAATCACAGTGATGTATTATTCATCGTGGCAAGTAACGTATGCAGATCACGTTAATAATTGAATCTATCTAATTAGATGTTAATTGTATAATCACTAACTATATGAGATAATACGCTAGTATGATTTAAAGATATACTGTCCTTAGCGTTAAAGTCTTTATAAAAACATGAAACAACTTGCATTCCATTCCAACACTTCTGCTTGACATTTTAAGTGGTGATAATATTTACTACCTTTCTACCGTACATTGTCATTAGATTAGAGTAATTATTAATTTATCTTCCACACAAATCTCGAAGTTTAAACTCGATCATCTAACGATAATCATAGAGTGACAATATCAGTAACCATTTGATTTGACAGTGACGAGCAAAAATATTCACATAACTGAAGTAGAGGTAATAACTACTCAGAATGTGATTGAAGAGCATAGAAGATTTCCATGGAAGTTTAAGAGTGTTGAGATCTCTCATAAATAAGTTGGCTAGTTATGTTCAAATATTACATGAAATTCACCCCTTTTACATTACAACAAAACATATTCTTCTTTCACCTCCTATCATCTACAAACAGTGTAAGCTGCAAATGGAAAAACCAGTTGACAGAAACAAATATCAAATCAAAATATAAGAAACTCTCACCTCTCGAGCTTTAGTTGGGCAAACAAACCAAATAAATTTGAATGTGAATTTTCGGACAGTAACATTGTCGTCTTTCTGTCTAGCAGTTGATTCCACACTCGTCAATATTTGGTCCGGTGACTCTTGTGGTGAAGGGATCAACCCTCACCCACAACAAAGAGAAAATTGAAGCAAGGAGAATCGACCACACGATGACAATGGTGGGCGTACGGTTCTGACGTCCCATGAGACCTTTGAGGAAGGGGTACAAATGGACAATCACCCAAAAGGCAAAGAAGAGCTTACCAAAGAGGGGACCCCATGATTGGTAACCGCTATTGATAGCATACGATATACCTGCTACAACCCCTACCAAGTTTACGATGAGGAGAGTTGTTGGCGGGATCAGAAGTGTTGTCCATTTAAACATGTAGAGTTCATTAAAGTCCCCATCTTCGTCTGATGCCTTGGAGGTGACAGTGAAGTTGGTGTCAATACCAGCAAGTACTTTGAGAATACCTTGGACAACGGCAAACAGATGGGCAGAAACACCACCAATAACCCAAAACTGTTCATTTCTCCACCACTCGTCGATTCCAACACCACTCCACCTCATCTCTAGAATACCAGTTGCAAAGATAGAAAGAAAGAGGGAGATAAACCATATACTTGCAAGATTGCTAATCTGCAACCCGAATGAGCCAACAAATTTAGTGAAATCTTACATAAATCTTCTAACAAAATTTCAAATTATACACAAATTGGCATGAACTTAATAGGGAAAAAACTATACATGTCAAGGTGCATCAATATACAGACCATATCGTATCTCTCATGGATCAAAGGGCATGTCCAATTACTGAATGCTTGTCATGGTTTTTGGGAAAGTTATATTTATTATGGTGAATCAGTTAAAACAGAAGGTTTTGCGGGTAAAACAATCACAGAGAAACAGTGCTCTATAAAGAAGGGCCAAAAGAACAAAAAAAACAAAAGAGAGACGGAGTATGCATAGAGGGCAATTATGGCGAAATAACAAACCTGTGGAATGATGAATTTGTTGGTAAGAAGACAGACAGCCGGCAGTGTACAGTACATGAGAAGAGGTATGGAAGTGATTGGGTAAATGGTAGTGTTCACATACGCAAATCTCTCCAGCCATTTTAGCCTCCCACTGTAACCATACCAGATAGGACAATGCCGACTAAGAAGAATTTCCACGGATCCCAAAGCCCATCGAAGCACTTGGTTCAGACGATCTGAAAGATTAATAGGAGCAGACCCTTTAAATGCTGGGAGCTTAGGCATGCAGTATATAGACCTCCACCCACGGGCATGCATCTTGAATCCTGTAAGAATATCTTCTGTGACGGAACCATAGATCCATCCAATCTGTGGGAGACATATAATCATTCTCTTAAGAGTGAACAAAAATGACAACAGGAAACAGAAAATAAAGGTAGGACATCGAGTCCAAATTAAACCAATGACAACTCCTGAAAATCTTTAGAAAGTATATATAAAAAGCAGGGAGAAGAATTAGATTTTATATGAAAGTTAATGAGAATTTGAAGTTTCAAAGAGACTCCAGTCAGTGGCATATTTCAACCACACAAAATTAAGGTAGCTTAATTTTGTCGTTGTCTAGACAAACGGATTTCAAAGGTGATACTAAGCAACATTTTCTATTCTTTCCTCGTTGCATTGGAAATAGAAGGATACTACATAAGGTAACAGAAGCATTGAAAATAATGACATACCTCATTTCCCCAGTCAGATTTGTCTTCATATCCACAGCTGATAACATGAATAGCTTCTTTAAGAAGAGTTTCTGGTGTCGCAGATTGAGGAACACCGCCATTCTCCATCAGTGTAGAGGCAACAAAAACAGAAGACTGACCAAACCTCTTTTCTAGGCTCATTTGTGACATCAATAATGACTTCTCATCGTCAAATCCAGCACCTGATTTTGAAAGTGCGTATGTAAAATGTTGAGTGTTCCAACTATTAAAATTAAAAATGGGACAAGAAAAAAATTTTCCTGCATTGACACATTATTTATGCCACCTGGAAGTAGGTGTGATATATAGTGGACTCTACCTCAATTATATACAAATGAAATATGTACAAGCTTACGATTCAAAAAAATTCAAAATTACCTTCCACCCCCTCTTCAATATCCTCTAGACTGAAAATTGGCACAGTAGGATCGACATTCTTAGATTTCTTTTTATCCGATCCCTTTTTACTGGATTTTGAACCCTTCTTCCGTGATCCACCACAAAGTGAAGATAGAACTCCTGTTTTCTTATGCTTAGGCTTGACAGGAGGTTCGTAACCATACAAAGCTGTTCTATTGAAGACACACCCAGTACCCACATAAACTGGTCCTTGAATTCCGTCTAAACCTCTCAAGTTAATCTGAAATCCAGAATTAAATGTATAAGCACACTAATCAGTCTATGCAAGCCCACGGTGAAAGACTTGTAACCGTTTAATAAGTTTAATAATTTTATACAGAAGCAAAAACAACATTAGTTCAGAATTAATCTCTTTTCTGTGATGAATATAAGGAATATAGAAAACTTACATCAAAGAAAACAGTGTTACGATTGGCGTATCGATCGTTTCTATCAATACCATCAAACCTCTGTGGAAACTGAACATAACACACATTTTTTCCAAGGTTAGGATCCATTAGAAAGCACATAGCTTCCCTCAAGGCCTTACTGTTGTTAATGTAATGATCACAATCAAGATTCAACAAGAAAGGTCCATTAGTGAGAACTGCTGACTACTCGAACCTACAAGAGAGTTTCAGTGACATCAGAGGAAGGAAAATACTTAATTCTAAAGAGATAAAGTGATAAACAAACTTTAGAACATAAAAATAAAAAATACTCACAAGTGCATTCATAGCACCAGCCTTCTTGTGATGTTGGAAGCCTGGACGCTTTTCACGAGAAACATACACTAAACGTGGCAGTTCATTACCATCAGTATCGAGCCCACCACTTTGGCCTAAGAAAACCTGAAAGTGGAAAAAGAAATACAGATCTTAGTACAAAATGAGGCCATATACTTTAAACTCTGCTTCAGCATTCCAAACGAGCGTCAATTAGTTAGTATCAACTTCAATAACTATCTCCCATAGCTTATAGAGATCTGTCACATAAGATATCCACCTGAATCATTCCTGGATGGTCTCTAGTATTATTTCCAGGCCATGGAGTACCATCTTGCATGATCCATCCTTCTTCGGGTATTTTTGTGGCCTTTGCAACAAGCCCATTAACACGAACTTTAAATTCTTCATATTCTCTCTGAAACCAAAAAGGAAAGAGTAGCAGGTAAGGAGGGGCACTTTTGTTATGAGGCAGAGCGTTTTAGATGTGTGTGCTAAATGGCCTACCTTCATCGCTCTACGCTCTTTGACAAATGATGGTTGAACTTTATCCTTTAAGTAATCAATCTTCTGTGAAAAATACCATTCCGGAGCCCGAGGCTCAATAGCATATTTCTTGCAAAAAGGGACCCATTTCCTAGCAAATTCTGAAGTTTCAGACAGAGCTTCAAACGTCAACATTGCAGCTCCATCATCAGAAACATAGCAAGAAACCTTGTCAACTGGGTAGTCAACTGCAAGAATAGATAGCACAGTATTTGCTGTCACCATAGGAGGCTCCTTCAACTGGATCGACAGTACTGACAAAGATGTCAACAGCAGCTAAATTTGATGGTTCTCCTTCTCGGTCATATCTGCAACTCAAATGAAATCGGAATTAAACTCAAAATACAAGGGCAAACAAATTTGAAATGACACTGCTAATTGGTGTTTGCAAACGAATATAATCACTGAGACACAACTGAGAGTATTTGCAAAGAAACTTTCCCACCTCAAAGAAAGTCTGTCAAGATATGTTTCACGATTAACGGGGAGCCACTTAGGGAACTGATCGAGAATCCAGGAAATTGCAAACCAAATCTCACAAATGACTGATATCAGCCAAAGAGCATAGGCATTGGGCACAGGATTTGTTATTCGATAGTGCAAGAAAATGCACAGAATAATAAGCCGCAGAACAATGACCATTCTGTAAGGATTTATTCTAGATGATGGAATCGAGACCTTTCTGGAGAGAGGCTGCCTTGCTTCATCATTCCTGCAAAACGGGAAAGAGGATCCACATGAAAATCAACTTTTGCCACACGGTAATTTGAAAACAAACAAGAAAAACATGTCCATCAAATTTAAGTGACAGAAAACAACTGTGCTACAGAGCACGATGCAGTACGTTCACAACTACTGCTATAACAAAGGTTTGCCTTATACCAGCCTAGCCTCTCCACACTGTTAGTTTTTGACTTTTCTAATAGCAGGAAAGCTTATGTAACCAAGATAAGTCGCAAATTTTAAGGTTCTCAGCCTTGCTAAAAACTATCAACAAAGAAATATATGAAACTTTGCAGTTCAATCAAGACAAAACCCACAAGAATGAGTCATCAACAAGCAGATCATTGGTGGTGTCAATAGAATATTAGAACTTGAGCATTATAAATATACTGTTAAAGTGGGAGGTCTTCCTAGTCTCTCCATCTATTATTAGATTTTAAATTGTCTCGTGGCAGTGAAACTCCCGTCACCAAGACAAAAGCAAAGAATAAATTTTTCTATTTTTATTTTTTTGAGAAGAAACTATAACAGTTTATTAAAAAATATTAACAAAACAAAGAAAATGAAGGCAGAACTTACAGCAAAGAGTCATCCACAATCACATCAGATCTGGCATCAATATCTCCACCGCCTCTTTCAGAAGTAGCTTGGCCAGTGCTCATTGGAATGACATTCTTCTCTTGCTTCATCTTCCAGCCATCCACTCTCTCTTTCCATGCTACATTTCCAATCCCGGGAGAACCAAACTCCCTCACAGGATCCACAACCCTTATATTAGCTGCAGAAAGAATATAATGTAAGGACCCTGTTGTCAGGAAAACATATAGAAACTAAGAACATGTCACATAAGATGTGCGGAGAGACATACGGGATTGGTTAACATCTGATCCATAAGAATGATGATGCACACGCTTTCCAGCACCAACTCCAGGAGATGCCATCGAAAGGCGCTCTGGTGAAGCGGCAGACAGTTCTCCAGAAACCTACAAATTGCAGATTTGCAAAGGTTAAATTCCAGAATAAGTTCCTTATAAAAGAATGAAAGTAGCTTTCCAAATGTATGTTGGCCTACCTCTTGTCCACTAGTGAGTAGAGGGATGTGATTGTGAGAAACCTCTTTATCATAATTTGGAGCCGAAACATCCTCTCCCCGGCCATATGTCATATGCCAGCTTAGCATGCGTTCAGCAATCTTTTGCTTCTCGTTTTGATTTTCTGAAGTATAGTTGAAATCACTGGTACCATCATCAGGAACAGCATCCTCTTCTCTATCACCAAGAATTGCAGGGCTCCCTGAAAACAACCACCCAAAAATAATATGTGATTACATACACAAAATATTTGATAAAAACAATCAAGGTCTTGCAACATTGCATAAAATCAAGTTGTCATGAAAATTTATTTCCCATCAACTAGCCAAAGAGAATTACCATCAATTTATAAAATTCAAGTACTGCGGCTTTTTTAGACATATTTGTGATTGCAATACGTATAAGCAACTAAAAATATAAAGATTAGCTAACAACTTCACTATTTCATGATATCTTCTCAAATAATGAAACTAAACTAATTACAGGTCTTACAAACCTTTGTGCCTCTTGTATCTGGTTTTGCATTGAGGGCAAGACTGATTTCCATCCTTCCTCTCGTACTCATAGCATGGCCTGCAAACAGGAAAGGCACAGACATCGCAGGCAATGAATGGTTCCCCATCCGCAGTCTTCCCAACATTATCCCCACAGATCTGGCAGACCTGACCTCCGAGGCTTTTCATGGGCTTTGCCTAAGTAATTAATCATTCATATAGACAAAGTTTAGAAAATGCATTGACGATGGCTGCAATGACAGGACTCATGGAGCACGTGCTAATCGTGATAATGATAGTGAACAACCAAAAATTACAATATCAATCTGAAAAACTCAAAACCCCACATTCTCCCCAAAATTAAAAGACAAGGTCACTGCGCAGGAACTAGTCAAAATCTTTCTAATCCCTACTATCTAAGTTTTTGTGATCCATTTCTTCATTACTTTACCTAAATCCCTTAATTTGAAAGAACCTCACCCAAACATACCCTGAATGAACTAATGCCCCATTTGTTTGCTAGGAAATTGTGGTGAAGACTGACAGGAACTTTCAAAAGCTTTCATCACTCGGGACTTATATCGCAACACTATCCACTCAAGAATTTCACTCAGCAAGGGACCATCTGTTACTTTCTCCCAATTTCTTATCAAAAAGAGGGAAAATTGCAAAACCAATAGAATGCTTCGGATGCTTACCGCAGTTTCTCCTTCGGATTCCATTGCCAGCCTCTTCTTTGCTCAGATGTGAACAATGGTTCAAAATTCTAGTTTAATCTCAACAAGATCTATGCATGTCTATGAGCTCATTAACTTTTTTCCACTACGAAAAACCAAGATCTGGATTAAGCACCTGGAAAAGGGAAGGTAAAAAAAAGTCAGATTTTACAAACTTTCAGCAAGCATTTTCTACACCACAGATCACTGAATTTATTATTCAACTGTGGCCAATAAAACTACGATTCTTCCTCGGTCTTCACAGCAACCGAACAGATTGTAATTAGTGATATCCGGTGGAGAACAGCACAGTCCACATTTCCAAATCTTATCTTTTAATGTAAGAACAACATAAAGCAGAAGAATAAATGTTAAACAGATAAGGACCAAAACTAAAATCCAACCACAAAACATACCTTCAATAAAAAAAGAACTGATCTTTATCACCAATTCTTCAAATCCAGAAAACCCAATTCAACCCAATTGAATATAAACCCAAATCGATCCAATTCTCCTGCAGATGTCAGAAACTAGACAAATTGGAAAAACCCCAGATGAAAAGTTCACTGCTTGAATCCCAAAGATCAAGAGAGAGAGTGATCTTATTGATCCACTGGAACAGACAAACCACAACGCCAATCACAGCTCTCTCTCTCTCTCTCTCTCTCTCTCTCTAGAAAGTGTCTCAGTCTGTGTATAGCAGTATATATTTATATAATTTGTGGGAGAAGGAAATGGCTTTAAGACTTAAGAGGGACGAAAGAGACAGAGGAACAATTACGAGCTTTTTAGACTCTCTTCTCTCACTACCACCGACAGTTTTAGACAGAGATGCATTGGCTGTGAAGGAAGTAAACACATCAGCTACCTCATAAAAATTATAATTTTCTGTTACGAAATTGTTTAAATAATAAAAGTTGCAAAATAAAATAAAGAAAATGTAATTATGTAAAGTGAAAGCAAAACTTGCGAGGTAATATTACTGACAGTGTTTCGTTGTCCGTCTTGAAGACTTTGGATTTGCTCCTCCAGTTGTACGCGGTACAACACTAGTACTAGGTTTTTGACCCTGGTTAAGAACCCAATGAGGTCCTGCCACGTTACTTCTATATGTTTTTGGTAAAAAATGTTTGTGGTAAAGGAAATACGAAAAATGCTTTGAAAACAAAGAAAAGAAAAGTTAAAGAATAATGTTAAGTAGATTAAAATTTTAAATTAAATTTTATAAATTAAATACTGTATTTGTTGATAATTAAATTATTACTTAAAATAAATGTTTTATAGAAATTGCTTTTGTAAAAATCAATTGAAGGTTTGCTTTGTAGGAATTTGTAGCTTATTTGTAATACTACCCCTAATTCACATCAATTGTAGCTTATTAGCGTCTTTGAATTCACTTATTGTCAAGTGAGACAATATGATGAGCTAATAGAATCCGTAAAATTATAATTGAGTAGTATAGATCTTTTAATTTGCGTTCTCCAAACATAAAGATTCACTACCACCCAAGACTAAACAAAGTAAGACCTGAAACTGAGATTCAAGAGCATGCTATATAATGCACCCGAAAGAGGCTTGTGAAATTCAGAAGTCCGCACATGTGCCAAAAGAAAAATTCTTTCCAATTTTAAAAGCAAATTTCTACAATCCCATCAATTCAAGAAACATTCTTCTTCATATTTTTTTTCACACATTTTATATTGCTAATCGAAATTATTTCAAAGAGAAGAAGTAGAAATGATTAACATTTTGACGAAGCTGATTGACGATTTGTTGAAGGTGTTACGGTTCAGTGTTCCATCTGCGTCCGTCCGAGAGCACAACATTGTCTTCCCCTTCCCCTCTGCTCCTTCCACCTCCATTGTCGTTGCTGATGAAGAGTCCAAGTTGTTCTGTAAAATTGAGATTTTTGGGGATTATATATAGCTATGGGTTCTGGGAGTTTTAAAATTGGGGGTCGAGGGGTTTAGGAATTAGGGTTTATGGTAGAAAGAGGTCTTAGGGTTTTTAATGCGCGGAACCCTATTATTTCAGCTGAAATGCGTGGAAGAGTTGGGAAGCACCCTATTATTTTTGTTGCTGTTGCAGTTCATCCTCCACGTAAAGACGAAAGCAACAGCCCAAGACTAGATAATCCGACACCTTCCTCGCCATCGGAAAGATTATGGGGTGGAAGGAGGCGAACCATGATGGCCCTGGATTACTGGCCATGCATCAGCTGTCGTACGGGCACTTTTCAGCCTCGTGTTCAACCGGCACCGTACAGTTAAGACAATAAATCGGAGCAGCATACCTCCCATGGCGGCCGTCATGTATTTCATAGCCCTTGCCAACAACCTTAGTTACGTTGTATGGGACAAATTTCAGGTAGGGGCATAAATCAGTCCAGTGCCCAAACACATTGCAAATTCGACAAGGGTCTGTGAATAGGAAAGTTCTACCCATTCTGCTCTCTCTTTTCTGGTTTTGGTTTTGGAGTAGTAGTATTCTCCTTGTCAAGCTGGACTTTAGCCAGATTCTCTTCAACAGCCTTTTCATTTTTGAGTTGAGTCGGAGGGCCATCTGTGTGTTTGAGGAAATGTGGAGATACATTAATTAATAATATAAATTGCACAGTGCACATATAAGCTAAGTGCGTAAGCCATCTGGATTTGGATGGGGCCCTTAATTAGTTTGTATTCTCGATCTCGTTGAATCATCAAATACTTACTACTAGTGTTTCATGCTCATTCACGTTCTATTCTGTCTCTGGATTAATTTGTTAAGAGAATAACAATGTCAGTCATATGCATGTCATTGCCACCTATAAATGTACATGTGTGTGTTTGCGCGCGCATGTGTATAGCCACCGGCCTTCTTCCTACCATTGTGGGTCAGTGTGCAAGCACAAATCCTCAATGTTTTGGGTTCGTGTGTGTGCATGCGTGTGTATATAGCTACTGGCCTTCTTCCTACCATTGTGGCTAAGTGTGCAAGCACAAATCCTCAAAGTTGTGGGTTAGTGTGTGTGTGTGTGTAAATAGCTACTGGCCTTCTTCCTACCATTGTGGTTAAGTGTGCAAACACAAATGCTCAATGTTGTGGGTTCGTGTGTGTGCGTGTGTGTATATATAGCTACTGGCCTTCTTCCTACCATTGTGGTGGAGTGTGCAAGCACAAATCCTCAATGCTCTGGGTTCGTGTGTGCGCGTGTGTATATAGCTACAGGCCTTCTTCCTACCATTGTGGTTAAGTGTGCAAGCACAAATCCCCAATGTTGTGGGTTCGAAGGCGGGTATCCCAATGGAATTGTGTGCATAAATAGCTAACTGAAAATAATACACAAATAACTAGAGGAGGGCCAAATTGAACAGATTTGGGATGATACTTGATAGATTCTACTTATGCTCTAGTAATCAGGCATGGAAAATCAAACAAAATTAGTCATACCAAAATACCTAATTGATTTTGATATGAATATCTATAGCTTTTAATAATTAAATGAACAAGAAAAGAAATACATATTTTCTGCACAAAAAATTAGGCATCATCAAGTACCCCATTTAAATTCAAACTCAAGCACGGTAACCCTTAAAACATAAAAAAACATAAATGCATGGTGCTAATTAAGCTGCAAATTCGAAATTACAGATAATCTTCTTCCTACTCACAAACCCTAAAACCAAAGCAAACATGCAAAAAAAGCATACCATGAGAAGAGGGAGGAGTCCGGATCTCACCTCTGAGCTTCGTCGGTTGGCCTGGAATCTTCCCCTGCCAGGATCCGGATCCTCGTCCGGCTAGGGACTTCGACTTGGCCTTGGCCTTAGCCTTGAACCTGGCCTTAGCCTCGGCCTTGGATAGGTTGATCATGGTTCTGTTTTGTAAGAGACGGGCGAAATTGGGGATTCTGCCGGGGAAGCGATAGTTAGGCGGTTTATATAATAGCTATACCTTACAATTCTAATGCTAATGGGTCAAGAATGTGATTGTGTAAATTCTATATTATCTTGGATATCCTTGTGATTGCAACATATACATATATAGTTTGAAAAATAGCTTGGCTTAGTTCAAGCATATACAAACCTGTATATACATGTATAAATAGGATGATCATAAGAAATTAATTCCATATTTTCATCAAATCAACATAATGTGTATAATTACAAAGTAGTTTGGGAAAATATCGATCTTTTATATGCTATTTGTCAAACCGTTTAATAAAGGCTAGTAAACGGCCATAACCTTAAACAAAGATTTAAGATAAATTAAAGATTATATTCAACTACATAATGATGCTCTTAACCCCGTTCATCCCTTAAAACAAAATGGGCAATTACTGTACAATGTACTAAACAAATATGAATATAGAGCTAATCAGACAATAATAACTTCATCGGAGAGAAAGAAGAAAAAAAAAAAAAAAAAAAAAAAAAGATTTTCACGAGCTGGACATCCAAGTATGGCATCCTCCAATACTTCTTCCACACTGATTGCTTCTACCCTCATCCAAAACTCACCGTCAATGGCAATAATTCTACTACCAGCAATTCAGTTGTACCTGAGACTTAACCTTCCCTCTCTCTCTGTACGTTTACTTCCGTTAAACTGTTGTGTCCTGTGTTCGTGGGACACTCAACTCAACAAGACTAGATATAATTTTTGGTTTTGGACTTTGGAGTAGTAGTAAACCAAAACCAAGGGCTTCTTCCAATGAAGATGTAGGATAGGGGTGGGACTACCCGCTAATACCGACAGCTTACTATATAATCGACTATATCACTAAACAAATATACAAAAATTTATTTATAAATAGTTTATTTACAAAACACACTGGGGAAGAAGGTTGGGGTACAGAATTTATCAAATATAACCAAAAATTAAACCTTAATTTTAAATGTGTCAGTTTTTATATAAACTTTTAAATATATTTAAAATCTATTTAAATATACACAAATACCTTTAATTGATATGAATAATTAATTATTAACTAAAAATCTACTTGTACTATATTGTCTACCCTTCTAGTTTTCTTCCCCTTTCATGTCCTCCCACTTTATCAACCATTCATTCCATACCAAGTTAATTTAAGGCTTCAGATCTCACCACGTCACCAACAACACTCAAGTTTTCTTTAATGCCCAATTTTTCTGCCTTTCCCTCCCACTCCAATTTTCCTGCCGTAAAATGGACCGAGATTGTGAAGATGTTGGCGATGGTGAAGATGTTGTGTGCACAGTTTTGCACCTTATGGCGCTTTTATGGAACCACTTGTGAGGAGGAAGAGAGATTCAACCGTTAGTTTCTACAAAACAAATATTTTTTGTAAAATTTTGAATCTGCTGTTTCTTGTGCTTTTTAATTTTGAATCTACAGATTTTGGTGCTGCAAAAGAGGAAGAAGCAGATGGGCTTGTCACCTTGGTCTTTCGCATGTTTCCATTTCCCTTATTACTCTGCAGCCTCTGAGTAAGAAGTACTTCTGCTTCTGCTTTTCTTATTGCATCAATTGCAAGGGGAGAAAGAATTACCGATGATTTACGTATGAGTGGGACATTGAAGAATTGAAACTTAATGGATGTCCGAAATTGGATGGGGCTCATGTTCCTGTACTCGAGGCTATGTTGTTTGCTTCTTTCCAAAACGAACCATGTAGATCCCTATTTTCGGGTATGATATTGTTGCTACAATTTTTGTTTTAATCATTTGGTTTCTATTAATATTTAATTTATGTTTCTATGATTCCATCTCTCTGTGATTACAATTTTTTATTTTCATATCTTGTGTTCTTATAGTTTTTAATATATGTTTTATTGTGATTCAGTTTCTTTGTGATTATAATGTTTATTTCAATGTCCTGTTTTCTCATAGTTTTTTAATTATGTTTCTGTGATTCAACATTAACGTTGTTCCTCTAAGACGTGTGAACCAGTCTTACGTGATTGGAACTTCAACTAAGATTGACATCTCTGGGGTTAAAAAGAACAGTACTTGTACTTTTCTCTTTACTCACAAATTCAACGTTAATGTTGAATCACTTCAATCACACAATGTTATTTCCATGTGCTAAATAGTGACCACTCCATCAAATTACAACAACTACAAGTTCATGACCACGTTTTCCCTTGTAATATATTTGTATTTAATATTAATAATATAGATTAAACCGCAGAACAATTGAAATCAACCGGCAGAACAATTGACACGAGGAATAAGAACAAAGAAATCAACCAAGCCAATTCGGTAATGAAGAACTGAAAAAGCAAGTCGGATGACAGCTGCTTCAGAAACACAACCCTCTTCCCCATGAACCTCCCGGCAAGAATGATCAACACGGTACCAGGAGTAATGCTGGCCCTTCACGGTATAAAGAAAGAAAATACCTAAACATTATTAGATATCCAGAGAAGAAAACACATAAAAGGTTACCACAAATAAAAAATGGAGGTCATAAATGGATTCAGGATGTCGAAAAACATAAGGGGGGATCCGGTACCCCCACGAGATGATTTAGCCGGAAAAGCCACCATCGCCGACGTGAACCGCAACGGAGCACAGTACCTCCGGTGGAGGGGCGTGTGATCCACGCGCCAGCCAAGACAGGCGCCGACGTGCAGCCTGGGTTCTGGGATCCGACTGGGTTTGGGCCGGATCTGGGTTTGGGCCGATGGTTTTGGGCTACAAAGTTGGGCCTGGGTTGCATGGCCCAAGGGTTTTGGGCCGGGTTATTCATTGGGCTTTGGAACCGGTTTAGGGTTATCGGGTCGGGTCTACCCGGTTTCAGGCCGTGGTTTGGCTGGAATCTGGGCAACCCTTCCTGAGCTCCGTACGAGCTCATTTCTTCACCATTTTCGATGTACAAACTATGAATTGAAGTTGAGGATGAGAGGAAGAAGTTCGTACCATTTTCACGACGTGTGGTGGCCGGAGTTGGCCGGAAAACGCCTGCAAAGGCCGGGTTCCTCGCCGGCAAACTAGGAAGTGTTTTTCCCCGGGGGTTCTTCGTCCAAAACCTACTCAGACACGTCTCAATCTCACCTCAAAACACGATCTATGGGGTTCTAGGAGCTTACCTTGGTCAGAGATTCAAGAAGTTCGCCGGAGGTCACAAGCACAGTGATAGTGCAACTGCACTGAGAATATAGATTAAACCACACAATGTTGAATCACTTCAATCACACAATGTTATTTCCATGTGCTAAATAGTGACCACTCCATCAAATTACAACAACTACAAGTTCATGACCACGTTTTCCCTTGTAATATATTTGTATTTAATATTAATAATACAGATTAAACCGCAGAACAATTGAAATCAACCGGCAGAACAATTGACACGAGGAATAAGAACAAAGAAATCAACCAAGCCAATTCGGTAATGAAGAACTGAAAAAGCAAGCCCGATGACAGCTGCTTCAGAAACACAACCCTCTTCCCCATGAACCTCCCAGCAAGAATGTTCAACACGGTACCAGGAGTAATGCTAGCCCTACACGGTATAAAGAAAGAAAATACCTAAACATTATTAGATATCCAAAGAAGAAGACACATAAAAGGTTACCACAAATCAAAAACGGAGGTCATAAACGGATTCAGGACGTCGAAAAACATAAGGGGGACCCGGTAACCCCACGCGCTGATTTAGCCGGAAAAGCCACCATCGTCGACGTGAACGGCGACGGAGCATAGTACCTCCGGTGGAGGCGCGTGTGATCCACGCGCCGGCCAAGACAGGCGGCGACGTGCAGCCTGGGTTCTGGGATCCGACTGGGTTTGGGCCGAAGGTTTTGGGCTACAAAGTTAGGCCTGGGTTGCATAGCCCAAGAGTTTTGGGTCGGGTTATTCATTTGGGCTTTGGAACCGGTTTAGGGTTATCGGGTCAGGTCTACTCGGTTTCAGGCCATGGTTTGGCCGGAATCTGGGCAACCCTTCCCGACCTCCGTACGAGCTCATTTCTTCACCATTTTCGATGTACAAACTATGAGTTGAAGCGGAGGATGAGAGGAAGAAGTTCATACCATTTTCACGACGTGTAGTGGCCGGAGTTGGCCGGAAAACGCCTGCAAAGGCGGGGTTCCTCGCCGGCAAACTGGGAAGTGTTTTTCCCCTGGGGTTCTTCGTCCAAAACCTACTCAGACACGTCTCAATCTCACCTCAAAACACGATCTATGGGGTTCTAGGAGCTTACCTTGGTCAGAGATTCAAGAAGTTCGCCGGAGGTCACAAGCACAGTGATAGTGCAACTGAACTGAGAATGAGATGGGGAGAGATGGCCCATCGACGTGGTGGTTTATGGGGTTCGCTGGAGGGAATGGTGAAGGGTGGTGGTGGTGCTCGCCGTGCCGGCGAAGGTGGTGCTATGGTCCTTGCTCGCAGGGAAGAGAGAGATGGCTAGAAGAGAGTTTAGACTGAGTCCACAGAAGAGAGAGGCAGAGAAGAAGGATTTGGGCCGGGGGAAAAAAATCAAAGGGTGGGCCCCACGTGGCTCACCAATTACTTTAGTCTAAAGAAGCTGACAAAATTGCATTGTAGAAATGAACAGTGTTTTGGACGACATTTCAGTTTATTTACAGGATTGCCACTCAGATGCTTTAACCAGCTTCTCTTAATTTACAAAATTGCCACTCAGGCTTAAGGACCAATTTTCAGCCGTTCGCTGCACTTCAGCTTTTGACTCGGCGAGAGAGAGGAGGGGGACAGAGCGACTACAGAGGAGGGAGACACAGGGCCTGACAGATGAGAGCTAAGGGTTTGGACTGAGTGAGAGAGATATTTAGGTAGGTGCTCTGACAGGATCTATGGGATTTTCTCCCATTTTAGAGAGAGATGGACAGCGAGAGAGATACAGAGCAGAAAGCATAGGTGTGTGTATTCTTGGGTCTTCCGAAAACGCTAGAAACCTAAAACATTCTCAGCTGCTCTGCAACGGGTTGGCGACTTCGATCATGCGTCCTACAGTCCGCATCGATCTCTTCCATGTCTGCTTCGTGATCCCTTCGATCCCTTCAAGAGGTAATTAAATCCCACTTCTTTCTCTGATTCGTGCCTTATTCTCACTGTTTTTCTCGAATTATTTGTTTTCTTCGATATTGTTGTGTTTCGCTCCCAAAAGTCTTCGTATTTTAAGGGATCTTATTTCTGGTATCTGATTTGTGGAGGGTTTTTTTTATCCTTTTAAACGTGGGGTTGTGGGTGTTTTGTCCAGGGAGCAAAACTTATCTGGTTAGGCTGTTTCCCTTTGAAAATTAATAGATGTTCAAATTCGGAACCGTGAATTATTAATTTATTTGTTGTTGCGGTAATTTAGGCACTTGAAAGCGAGGCAATCATGGTTAGATTTCATGTGGTTCATGATAGACTTGGTCAGGCTTTAGAAGGTTTGCCTGATGAACTTTGCCTATCAGATGAAGTTAAGGAACAGGTATATACATATATGTCCCTTTTGTCCATTTTCAAGCTAATGCTTCCCATGTGTTATTTCATTTTTTTCACACGGACAGATCTTTTATCAATTCAAACTATTCTCACTTTGCTGCACACGATTGATATAAGTCCGTCTAGGTTTGACGAGATTCAGAGTACTTCTTATGAAATTGGTCACACGGACCACTACGGGGAAGACATCCTCCAAACCCTCTACATAACATTGAGGTAAATCCCACTTCTGCTCTGCTTCACAAATTATTTGTTATTTTCCATAATATATTTTGATTTCTAGAACTGTAATTTCCGATTATTGCCTCTTCGACTCCTCTCCCACTGCCTCAAGCCAAAACTAAACCCAGCTCCAGTCCTCTACAAATCAAACCTCACAAAGTAAAGCACTCTGATTTCATTTTTTATTTCTGGTCCAGTAACCTTAGGTAGAGCGAAGAACTGTATAAATCCTCATGCATGTGGTTTGTTCTTTTGCAGAATCTGAGATTGGAGGTGATAAGTAGCTGGTTTTAGCTTCTGACGCAGACACTTGAAGAAGGAGCAAAGATGAATGCATTAGTGGCGACGAACAGAAACTTTAAGTTTGCTGCTTGGCTTTTGGGATTGGACTCCAAGCTTGAGAAAAGTTTACTTATACCATTTAGGGAAATCAAGATAATTTTGCATATAGTCTCCCTTATGTATATCCCTTACTCTTAATTATAGGTAGATTTCAGACCCTAAAACTAATGTGGTTATTGAGTTTTCTCTTTTCGTTGCTTTTGAACTATATACTTTGGTGCAGGTTGAGTGTACTATACCAAAAGACGATGGCAGTTTGGCTTCATTTGTTGGCTTCAGGGTTCAACATGACAATGCTAGAGGCCCCATAAAGGGAGGAATCAGATATCACCCAGAGGTATATGCATACTTTGTTAAGTTCCACTTTTACGACCAATGTGAATGGTTGTCATATATCAAGAGTCGCTGCCATGAAATTGTCTTTAATTGTTATGGATCCTTTTATGGAAAATGTAGGTTGATCCGGATGAGGTGAATGCTTTGGCACAGCTGATGACATGGAAGACGAAGGTAGCCAACAACCCATATAGGGGTGCCAAAGGGGGTATAGGATGTAATCCAGGGGAGTTGAGTCTTTCCAAACTAGAGCAACTCACCAGAGTTTTCACACAAAAGATACACTATCTTATCGAAATACACACCGATGTTCCAGCACCAGATATGGGGATAGGTCCACAGGTTGAGCAATATTTCTTTGCCGAGTAATATAGTTGCCCGTTTCTCTGTTTCAATTATTTTATCTGATAAGAACTCATATGTTTAAAGCTACTTCATTTGATTGGTGTTCACTTTTTTCACCGGTGCATACCTAAAGTACCTTAAAGATTAAAATTTAAATATCTTAACCAAAGACATCGAAGGTATGATGGGTGCATAACTCAAGATTGAAAATCATAAATAAGGGAGAGTGGGGAAAGGAGAGGGTGTATATCAAGTTGAAAAGGGTTAACAAAATAGAATGCAGTAGTTACCAGGGTTGTGACACGAGTAAACTTAAAGCCAAATTTATTACGATAGAAGTTTAGTAAATAAACATGCTCATAAAAGGATCAGTCCATTACCAAATATATATCTTAAGCACCAAAATTTAGGAAGACTGATGCTTGCTTTTTAGCTCTTGAAGTATTGACTTAAGGTGGTCCACCTTTAGGGCTTGGGTTAGCAATGAAATAGATGAATAATAGCTTGAGTAATTACAAGAGGTAATGTTAGTGGTTAAGACGGGTTAACATGCAAAAACTTCCAGTCTTTACAAATGTGAGATTTTTCAGTAGGTGTGTTTTGTAAAACGGTTTTAATCTTTCTTAGAAATATAGCTTTCTCAATTATACAATACTTTGAATGGGTGAATTTTTATCTTTCCTGATTGCTGACTTGACTTGGGTTTTATTAAGAGTTTGATTTGGAGTTTAATTGAAGGTTTAATTCAGGTTTGTAGTTGGGGTTTAATTGAGGGTTATACTTTACTTAGCTTAAATTGCAGAATGTGGTTTTTGCATTGTTATATGGAATTTCCACCATGAACAAATAGCACTTAACACATTTAATCAACTAAATGCTTAAATTCTTCCTTAGGCACCAAATTGGATCAATGAACAGAATCTCATTTTGATGTTCTATTCACTCAGTTCTTTATGACAAGCTCAAACAAATTTAATTTGCCTTTATATCCGAATGTATTGAAGACATTCCGAGTTGTATGCCATTACTGTTCAATTCTGCCCTTGGCCGAGGCCCCTTGCAGTTTACTCAACATTTGACATAGGCCTTAAGATTCCATATTCTTTGTTGAACCAAATTAGATTGTGCTGGATTCATCATATTTGTAAATTTTTTTTTTCGGTCTGTCTTTGGTCATTTAGCTAAAATTTCTTTAGATTTGCTCTTTAAATTTGAAAGTCTCTAAGTTGCTAACGGATCTACATTGTTTGCAGATTTTATAAATTTGGATCATTTGAGGAAGCAGTTGGTTCCATGCTGTTTTGAGGTATATAATTATACGCCATCATTTTTTGTTCAAAGCCTATTTAGGTATCTACCTTTTTTAATTTATTTTTGTGAAGCTTTGATGCTTAGATTTTAAATATATAATTCAATTTTTGTCATTTGAGCTTATATTGGAACTGAGTTTCTTTCTATTTAGTGTACGTATCTGTATCTGTTCATTAATGTGAAGGCTGAGATAACTAAGCATCCATTTGGTCATTTGAGCTTAGAATGGAACTGGCCTTCTTTCTATTTTGTGCACGTATCTGTATCTCTCTATTTATATAAACCTTGAGATAACTGAGCATGTATTTGTACCAAACCTTGTTCGAATTGAATTGTTGGTGTATTTGTTCCAAACGCCATTTGAATTATATGATTGGTTTATTTGTTCTAAACCCCATTAGAATTGTATTTGCTTGGATGGGCTGTTAGTATAGGGATAGTTAGATTAGGAACTTTGTTTTCGCATTTTGTGATTGGGATCTAATTATAGGTTTTGTGTTGCATGTCTCCATGTTTCAGTCTCTGTCTTCTCTGTGTAGTTAGTTTGGCCTGTTTTTAGATTCTTAAATAGTGCTGCTTAATATTGTTTGTAAGGTTATTTTTACGACTAGGGGAGTAGGGATACTGTAGCAAATGAACTTAAAGTTGTGAACAAAACTGAATTGAAAAGTAAGAAAAGTAGTGGGAGTACTTTCATGGGTAAGAATAAGATCGCCATTTTCCCATTTCTCGGTTGCTTCTGGTATGCTTTCTATTGGATTTTTATGTTTATATTCTGCTACTAAGAGGATTTTATAGTGTTCTAAATCTGTTTGGTAAATGTGCTTAAAGATTGGACATGTTCTTCAATATTAGGCATGTTGTTTGAATTGCATATGTGGTTGAAAATTAGGTTCAGCCACCCAACTTCTAGGGAAGCAGAAACTTTGAGAAGATTTGTAAGCCCAAGTAGGTCCAATGAGCCTTCAGACCTTACCTATCTGTACTATGTTTCAAGTTTGTAACAGTCATGTTACAAGAAACTTTGGTTTATTTTATGTTATGTTATGACCCAAGTCAGATGAATTCTTACCCAAGTCACCCTTCAGTTTTGAAAAAATTAAAACCAGAAAGACTTCATGGAACTACCAAGTAGAAATCTCACAAATTTGTAAAGCTAATCAAACGTAGATTAACACTATATAATTTTGTTTGAAGCTCAGGTTTGAATTTGTGCTTAATGGTTTGCATTGGTTGCTGTTTTTGCATAATGGTTTGAATCTGTCATGTTCTTTTCTGATGGTTTATAATTGTATATTTGCAAAGATGCATGGCTATTGGACCTTCAATTAGAGATCAGCATGATTGCATTGTGATAAGACCGAAGCTATACAATTACTATTTGCTAATTATTACTTCTGTCATTTAATTGAGGTTCGTGTAGAAGAGGACTCAGGCATGTTGTTAGTATAGATTTACGTTTCTTATTACTTTCCTGCAATATTTGATTATAAGTCATGAACAAGCCAATGTTTTTCAGACTTTACAGATGCCTATGTTCGCATATGAATAATTTGGCTTATGGATATTAATGTTGTGAGCACATATGGTAATTGTTCTATGTATGGAATATCTATTTAAGGTCTCATTGGTTTAACATTATCAAAACTTTTGCATATGTCTGAAGTTTAACGAATGCTCATATATACATATAAGATCTAAAAGGGATGGAATTGTTTCCTTATTTAGTAACTGCCATATATATATATATATATATATATGTATATTCCAATAAACTTGATTATATCTTTGGAAATATGTATGTACCGACCGTCAAAGCATGTATATACCAGTATCCAAGTTGAGCACAACAATGACACCCCATTCTATTCAATCTCACTTATTGATACAGCGTTTGATGATCTAATTCACCTATTTTCTCTATTGCGATTTTGTCTCCGTGAGCCTTGCACTCACATGCACTTGCACACAGTTTGCAGGTCATGTCTCAACCTTAGTTTCTCTTGCCTTAATAGCTTAGTTTGAATTAAGGCAATATCAGTGAAGTCATTACCTGTGGCTCTCTGATGCTCTAATAGGGTCACCGTCAGCAATGGCAAGAACAAGGTTAGCATAACCAAGTCTCAACTCATCCGGTAGATCTGTCACTTGGCCATAATCCAGCAAGGCAACCTAACTTGGAAGAAAGGGAACGCATAAGGGAGGTATGAGTATGGTTTTTTAGGGCCGGTTTCTAGGGATGTGGTCTGGTGTCGATCCCTTCACAGGGTGTGCGATTCCAGAACACATTTTAACAGCTTTATCCGAATGATCGTTGAGAACATCATCAAATATAAATGACTGTTCGTCAACTGCCAGTGAAACCTCATCACTGTAACTAGATAGAATAATTTAAAAACCATAGTGGTTAGGGTTAGATGGGTATTTGTTAACCCAGAGTGCTCAACCACATAAGTTAGACCTTTTAGTTGCTTTCTTTTGATCTAATCCTGTCAATTTTTTTGCTGACGTGTTCACTTAATTAAAGGTTTATATTTCCCACTAGGAAGTATCTGGGAAAAGAAAAGGGGAAGGAAACAAGAGCCAAAGTAAAGGCTGTTTTCTTTTCTTTTAAATTGTTTAACGTTTACGCTTTTTATTTGTCGAGTTCGTAATTTAGTTCATTTATACCGTGCTTTTGGCATGGTTAATTCTTTTAAGTGCAGGTTACCCTATAGACGTTACAATTTAGGTCCTTAGTTGTTTGATAGAAAATTGCTTTGATTCATTGTTTTTATCGGATAGTTTGATCACTACGCTCTTATTTCAGATCGTAACTCATTTTGGTTGCGAGTTTGTTCTGTAATTTTTTTTTCCTCTGCTATTAATAGCTTACCACATGTGGTAGCAGAGCGATTGCGTTGGTAGCTTATGTATACAAGTGAATTCAGATGACACAATGAGTTTGATATTCAAAAAAATGTCTGTTGGTTCAGTTTTTGAATCTTTAAAAACTGTCGAATCAATTTGAATATGTAATTTCATGTTTATTGTTAGGTAAATTGCTGTTTTTTTCGCTGATAAAAAGTATAGAGTTTGGTTGTGTAAATTTGTATAGTTTTATACATTTCGCTCGGTTGACAATTTGATAATGGCTGAAGTGCATTCTTTAATCAAATGTGTTTTCTTTCCTCAACATGTCTGTTTGGTATTTTGCAGATCGAAACAAAGTGAAAGCTTTTGATTGTGAATTTTGCAACCGCTACCTTGCTGCTTTGGTAAAGTCTCAACTTCTTGATAATATCAATTAATTTTGGCTGTAATTTTAGGGTATTGAGTTGAATGCATATGCTACATGGCATAGGTTTAACATGATTACAACTTTAATATCATGATTTGTGATGCTAATTAAGCACAATATGAGTATCTGTACCAAGAAAGACATGAGCATCTAACGGATCTACTTTCTTTGCAATTTCAATTTGGGAATTGAATTTATTAACAAAATTACGATCCTTTTTAAAATTTAGAAAAGAGCATGTTAAAAGACCAATTTTCTTTACAAGAACTTGAATACAAAGTAGACCATCGGTGAAAATGAACCAACAACGATTATGGTAATTTAGTAATTTAAACATAAACCAGCTTTGAGAGTCATACTCACCCATTGTTGGTTTTCCTTGCGAGCAAATTTCCTACCCAAAGTTTCCCAAACTGTGTTGTCAAACTGCTGCATCAGCATATCTTTCCAACTTCTAATAGTGTTTGGTCCCCATACTTTCCACAATTCGTTTTGGATCTTAATAATAGTTGTTATATTGCTTGGAATTGTCAATGATTTCAGTTTTTCGTTTTCTTTTCTTTTTGAAAAGCATGAGTATGAAGTTTGATCAATGAGTTTGTTGTTGTCATGCTGAGAAAAAAAATTATATTAATGGTTGTTCATTTACCTATGGAGTATTTCATACTTATTCTGAACTCCACTGGTTCTTTAAATGGTGTGGTTTTTCAATCAGTTAACAGTTTTTAAAAATTCAAACAACATTATAGTTCTAAGCGTAATCATTTGATTAGTCTGCCTTTTAGTATAATTCCTGGAGACCAAAGATCTAACCATGTACAAGGCCCAACTATATAGTTTATTTCTATTGCACCTGGTAGGCCTTCATTTCAGTAAAGCCTTTCATTTCATTTCAGATAGGTGAAACAACACTCATTTGCTTTTATATATTAATTTTGCTATATTTTGAAAATTTGTTTTTGTTTTTTTTTTTTTGGGCCTTTTCCCCATCTCAGATGTGTGTCTCTATATACATGCACTAATGATTGCAACGTGTTACAACGGTGTATTAACTTTGGTGTATTCTTAACCGATGTGTCCAATTTTGTTTTCACTAATTATTATAAACATTAGGGAAATTTAAAGCCAAATATCAAATTTTAAGAATTTTAACTTGCAGCCATTTTTGTTGGTTTCTGTAAAGATTCTAATGGTTTTCTGTTATAAATTTGTCTCTATTAGATTGTTGTTTTTCAATTTAAATTTTACTCTTTTCCAACTTAGGGTGCTTCATTGAATAAATGATACAAATTTTTCTTGAAGTCATTTCGTTGTTTGTTTTCCTTTGGAGGATTGTTGTGCTTCGGTTGGTACCATTCAGGTCTGTCCATCTGTCAATCGGCATTGTTCATTTTTGTGAATATGTGGCAAGCCATTGGTGATGCAATCTGTCTAGGCAAAATAGCGATTGTCTTTTAAAGTTAAACATGGTCCACTTTCTGCAAAAAAAAATTTGGCAAAATGGTTAACCATCTGTTCACAAAAACTAATTAGTGACATCTTGATCAACCTGCACAGATTGCTATCTGGCCACTAAGCATTATGTTCGGGGTATAGGGTGCATTTTCTATGGTATGGGGTGTCCGAGAGAAATGGTTTCTGAATTAGGTCTGTTTGGATTTCAAGGATTACGTTTGGGATTTTGTTTGTAAGATTTGCAGAGAGATGGGGGTGTTTCAGTTTTTATGTTTAATGTTCTGAGACTTGCCCTTTATTTGGTGAACTTTCACAGATTGAGTCCGTTATACGATCACAATTTAAGTTACTTTTATTGTAACTGTTTGTTTGCACTTCAAATTCTTAATCTTAGTCTCACTGCTTTTTGTAGTTTAAATCGCGCTTACATCATAGAATCATAATTTGCTCTTGCTGCTGCCTTTAATCAAGGGGTTCTGAGCCATTAGATTTCAATCAAGCCTTTGGTATGTCTTGAACTTCAATACATTGTTTCCCCATGCTTTCCATTTCAGACAGTGCGATTTTATAATTTTTAACATGACTGTTTGGTTATTTCGGCTTATATTATACGTTTGTTCTAAGCTTTGTTTCTCATTCTTCATTATCTTTGTAACCTCTAATTCTCCAGAGCTCAGATAGTTCTTTCTTTCACGATCCTTTCGTAGTTGTGCCAGCTTTGAATAATTTGATCGGCGAGACAAAACATTTCCAGCTCTCTTTTGGAAATCAAAACACTGACTTTGGGAAGACTGACTTCATCGTTCATGGACTACTCCAAAACCAACCGCTCTCAAGCCCATCAATTGCCATAGTCACACCACAAACACCTGCTATATATATTTTCCCACCTTGACTACAAGGGCAAGATTTGTGTTAACTACATGTTACTTCTGTTTATTAGGAAACCAAAACGTTATGTTTCATCCTGTTCATCATACAATGTCTTTCAAAACCAGGTCAATTGAATGTATATAAAAACAAAGCTACATATCTTACCAACCCATTTGCTCATCTATCCCTCCCTCACTTCATTCATGATTGATTGAATTATTCAGGTAAAATGTATCTTATTTATGGAGTTCAATGTGATGCATTCAAGTCCCGCAACAACGTGCGGGCACATTTTCTAGTTAAGACTAAAAACAACCCATTCAAAATACCTAATCCAAACCCAATGAAATTACCAAAATACCCTTTCGTTCTAAAATCTGTAAAATTATCCAAGATGGATTGTTACAGGTTAACCACGATTACCTATACCCGTATGTATTTTGCCCATTCCTAAATGTGAGAGACTCAGGGGATAGAGAGAAGTGAGATGAGGGAGAGGTATGAGGCCAAGAGAAAAGAGAGGAGAGGAGAGAGTTTCATAAAATAGGGAGGAGGGCCTCACGTATCACACACACCAAGGCTAAAAAATACAAAGAACATGTGTCAATATGAGACAGAAACACTAGTCTAAGAAAATGAGGAGGGATACAAAGCAAATTTAAAGAGAGAAATTTAAAAAATTATCAATTTCAATCATGCTCCTAAATATAAAAAGAAAGTAAAGAGCTTCTAGCGACTCTCTACAATTAATGATATAATAAATAAATGAATACTCATTAGACATTAAATAAATAAATAAACTAAAAATATTTATATGTTGATGTAGAATTCTAATCAAAGGACTAGAATAAAATATTTAATCTAACAACATATTCATCAATCTAATGGAATTAAAGTTCATATACCCCCAAAAGTTAATTTCAAAATAACGCGTTTTCTCTTAGGATTGAAATCATTGATGTTATAACTTACAATATATTCATATTTCAAACAAAATAAAAATGAAAATTTCTCTATAAATTAAATTGTCCCAATATATATTTTGTCTTAATCTCATTTCTTTCTCGCCTATGTGAATATGAAGTTCAGTTTTTTTCAAAGTGTAGAAAGAAAATAGTGTAGGTATTGTAAAATGCGATATGAATGCCACACATGCGTTTCATAAGAAAGATAACAAAAGTAGACTTCGGTGTGTTTTGTGTAAGAAATGTGGACTTCGGTGTAATGCCACACCAAAGTGAACTTTGATGAGCATTGTATGAAAATGTAATACAGAGGTGAAATATTTTTTTCTTGTATGTAAAAAGTTGTCTGATTAAACTCGTATAAATAGAGGCATGTTTGTAACTTCATTACAACACACCAGATCAAAAGTAAAAAGCAATAATACTACTATCTCTCTTCTCTCTTTATCTACATGTGATACATTGCACACGTTCCGCTTCTAACTCTAGCAAGTGTCATTTCTCTCACTTTTGTCTCTTTATAGCACTAGGGTGGTTGGTGTTTGGCCTCTTTTGGTTGTCGGATTTTGTTTGTTCTATATGAAGCTCATCCACCTTAACAGTGTTCCACGCCATTGACTAAATCACTCACACAGAATAAAAAGTCTCCTAGAATTAAGTATCCCCAAATCTTAATCCTAGTATTAAGAACAGGATGGATGTTCAACTCAAGATTTAAGAACAAGAAATTTTCTTGTATTTTTTCCCAAACTTGTACACGAAAGCCCTATTTTGCGTGTGTTCGTAGTTCCTCCTCCAGACTGTTGTAAGAACAAGGTGGTTGTTTGACTCAAGGTTTTTCCTCAAGGTATAATCCCTAATTCTCGAGTATTTATATATGTTGCATGTTCATATATTACTAACACTTAATCGAACTATAGCAATACCATCTCTGAACTCTCAATTCCATTTGCAAGGAAGAAATCATGGCTTTGGAGGTGGTAGGTGGAGCTGTTATGTCCGCTTTCCTTCAGGCGGTATTCGAAAAGATGGCTTCTCCGGAGGTCAGGGAGTTCATCAAAGGAAAGAAACTGACGCAGGGATTACTGAACAAGTTAGAGATCATGTTATTGTCCGTTAATGTTGTTCTTGATGATGCTGAGGAGAAGCAGATAAGTAATTCAGCTGTGAAGCAGTGGCTTGAGAAGCTTAAAGAGTCAGTCTATGATGCTGATGACCTTTTGGACGAGATCAAGACAGAAGCGTTAAGCCGCAAGCTGGAAGTTGAAGCTGCTGGCAGTAGCACAAGTCAGGTACAAGAACGCATCTCTTCCTCGCATCATGCTTTTGACAAATCGGTACTCCCTAAGATACATGAAGTTGTTGATAGACTAGGCATCATCTCACAACAAAAAGATGTCCTTAATTTGAAAGCACATTCCAGCAACAAAACATCACACACACTGCCTTCAACTTCTTTGGTAGAAGAGTCTGGTGTGTATGGACGGAATGAGGACAAGGAAGCTATCGTTAAATTATTATTGATGGATGATGTGAATGACAATAAAACAAATGTTATTCCTGTTGTTGGCATGGGTGGGATCGGGAAGACCACCCTTGCTCAGCTCATATACAACGATGATAGAGCGAAACAACATTTTGATATTCAAGCATGGGTGTGTGTCTCGGAAGACTTTGATGTGGTTAGTGTAACACAGAAAATTTATAGGTCGGTCACTTCAAGAACTTGTGATATGAATGACCTAAATCAGCTTCAAGTTGAACTCAAGGAAGCTTTGAAAGGAAAGAAGTTCCTTCTTGTCCTTGATGATGTTTGGAACGAAAATTATCTTCACTGGGATCTGTTAAGGTGCCCTTTTGAGTCTGGTGAACATGGAAGTAAAATCATTGTGACTACACGCAATGGAGGTGTTGCATCTGTAATGGGTACTCTTCCAACTTACTGTCTAATGCCATTATCCGAGGATGATTGTTGGTTGTTATTCGTAAAACATGTGTTCAAAAATGGAGGAGTGAGTGGACACCCAATTCTTGAAGTAAGTGGAAGACAAATCGTCAGAAAGTGTAAAGGTCTTCCTTTAGCTGCGAAAGCACTTGCAGGCCTTTTACGATCTAAGTTAAATGTGGAGGACTGGGAAAAGATATTGAAGAGTGACATATGGGATAAGTCAACTAAAGAGAGTAACATTCTGCCAGCTCTATGGTTGAGCTACCATTATCTTTCTCCACATCTCAAACGTTGTTTTGCATATTCTTCGATATTTCCCAAAGATTATGAATTCAAGAAATCAGAATTGGTACTTTTATGGATGGCAGAAGATCTCTTACAACCTGAAGCAAATGAAAGGGCGGAAGAAGTTGGAGAGGAATACTTCGATGATCTAATCTCAAGGTCATTTTTTCAACATGTATCAACTGAAGATGGGGAGTCGTTTTTCACCATGCACGACCTAATCAATGATTTGGCAAAGTTTGTATCCGGAGACTTTTGTGTTAGGCTGGAGAAGAATGTCTCGGTGAACATTGTGAGCAAGGCCCGTCACTTTTCATATATGAAAACACATGATCCTGGTTTTGAAAAATTTGACGCCAAACATTTGCGTACCTTCCTACCATTATCATTATCGTATGATTCTTTTTCAGTGATGGGCAAGGTTCTATATGATTTATTGCCAACCCTACAATGTTTGAGAGCGCTCAGTTTATCGGGATATGATGTCACAGAGTTGCCTAATTCAGTTGGCAACTTAAAACATCTCAGGTACTTGAACTTGTCAAATACCTTAATCGAAATGTTACCTGATACATTGTGTTCTTTGTATAACTTACAGACGTTGTTGCTGTCACATTGTCAAGCTCTTGTTCAGTTGCCAAGCAACTTGAGAAAACTAATCAAATTGCGCCATCTTGATATCAGAGGTACAAAGTTAAGAAAGATGCCACCGCAGATGGATACATTGAAAGATCTGCAAACATTAAGTGATTTTTTCTTAGACGAAGATACTGGACATAACATTGTAGAGTTAAAAGAGCTTCCGAATTTGCATGGAAAACTTTGTATTTCAGGGCTTCATAATGTTGCGCAGGTTGGGGATGTCATGAATGCAAATATCAAGGACAAGAAGCATCTGAATGAACTAGTTCTCAAATGGGGAGCTGATAGTAACAATTCACAGAAGGATAGAGAAATGCTTGGCAACCTCCAACCTCACACAAATGTTAAAAAGCTAACTATCGACTCTTATGGAGGTACAAGTTTTCCAAGTTGGCTGGCAGAACTAGTTTTTCTTAGACTTGTGAATTGTCGATACTGTTTCATGTTGCCACCACTACCCTCCCTCAAGGAACTTTTTATTGAAGGGTTAAATGGTTTGGTGTCTCTGGGCCCTGAGTTTTATGGTGATGATACAAGTGGAACGAAGCCATTTAGTTCTCTACAAATTTTGGAATTCTGCAATATGCAGGAGTGGCATGAGTGGTCATATAACGAAGAAGGTAAAGAAGCTTTTCCTAAACTTTGCCAGCTTCGTCTGTTGGAATGTCCTAAGCTAACCCGGATATTACCTTTGGACTACTTTCCAAAGCTGGAAACACTCGAAATGCGCTCAGCTAACGTAGAATTCCTTACTATTTCACAAGAATCAAAACTCTTATCCATCAGTAAACTGGATATATATTTTTGTCCAAATTTTGTATGTTTTTCCAATGGAGGGCTGCATGCACCACACTTGACCAAGATCAGTATTTGGGGATGCAAAAAACTGAGGTCGCTGCCAGAACAGATGCACACGCTTCTCCCTTCTCTTCGTAACTTGTGGATAGTGGATTGTCCAGAGCTGGAATCGTTTCCAGAAGGGGGATTGCCTTCAGAATTAAGTTCACTTTATATCCGTTCTTGCAAGAAACTCATTGCAAACCGTATGCAGTGGGGTCTGGGAAGACTCACCTCTCTCGTAGATTTGGCACTGAGCTTTGAAGAATGTGAAGAAGTGGGTGCATTTCCAGAGGAGGGGCTGCTGCCCCCGTCTTTGACCACTCTCTCCATCATAGATATGTCGAATCTTAAGACCATGGACGGAAAGGGATTGAGACAACTTATCTGTCTTGAAAGACTGACAATATGGCGGTGTCCTGAGCTCCAGTACTTGCCGGTTGAAGGGCTACCCGCCTCTCTTTCTCATCTAAGCATCAGGAGTTGCCCTTTGTTAATACTACGGTGCCAGAGACAGACAGGGGAAGATTGGACCAAGATTGCTCACATCCCCAACATAGAGATTGAATGGGAAGAGATATGACGTCTTCTTATGGTAATTTTTCCCATTGTCTCTCAGCTACTTTTTTTTTCAATTTTTCATTACTGTTTAATTTCAGTCGTGAATTTGAATATGTTGATAGATAGCTTTCTACTCCTCATACTACAACCAGAATATACACAGAGATATGTATGTATGTATGTATGTATACACGCGCACACACTTGCTTTTAGATATGTATTGACAATCTGCTATTATTTTTTCTTAAACTCACAGAAGATTTCGCCTCCCTTTCGTTAGTTGAATTTCGCTATCAAACTGCTTGAAAAATTGAGGCATTTGATTACAATGTTCTTATTGTTTAGTTATAACTTGTAACAGTATTTAGAGTTACTTCTTTTACCATACAATTCGCAGACGAGTCTAGTGCTAATTTTCATTCCGATCATTTAATTTGTATGGACACTGAAAGGAAATTTACTCGAGGTGACTCAAAAATTATTGTTGTTTTGGACTGAGACAGTTGAATCTTACTTCTTTCCAGATGCTTGAGTTGTTTGCAACTATTTCATCGTATGGCACTTCAGAAGTACATCACTGTTGGATAAGGTGTGTTTCAACTCTCACCTCTCTAGTCTCCTGAAATTATGCATCAGTGACCGTTGGATTGCACGCGGCTGTTTTCAGTTTCAAGATTCTCTCTTCAAGTCACTGCCAGAGGAATGTCGAAGTTGGAAAGGGGATGTTCGACCTCCGGTTGCTTGCGTTCCAGGCGTAGAAATCCGTTGGTCGCATTTCTGGTTGCGATAACGGTCCAATTTTCTGTGTTTACAAGCTCAAATTCAACAGGGCATTGCAACCTTTGCTTCCAACTTCTTTGTCATGGTGAAATATACTGAACATAGGAAAGTACAAGGAACTCTTAATCTTCCAGTAGTTCTCTCCAGTGAAAATTGGACGGCTAAGATCACTGCTTTTCGATATAGACATTTTTAATCAATATTATTTTAAATAAATAATTTTTATTAGCTAATTATTGATTCGTAGTCATTATGACTCTTTAAAGTAGGGAGGATGGTTGAATTAGAACTTTTTTAGGTAACTCCTAATATAACATTTTAATATTTTTGGCTAAAATTTTGATACAAACTGAGAGCATGGTTGGAGGGGCTCTTAGTGGGTTTCGATTGTATAAAGTGTTTGTGTTTCGGTCTGAAATCGAGGATTTGGGCTGAGAAGAAATAAACCAAGAAATGAGGCCCAATAATGAATATTTAGTCCCTGTGATATTCTCCGCCCTGAAATAGATGTCAACAATTTTATCTAGTCTAGAATTGGATTACTAAGACTATCTACAAAGGAAATGTCAAATTATAACAGTCAAAATACAATTGATGGTTGATGTGGCAATCTGAAGTTTTATGTCAAATTTGTAAGTCTCCAATCGAATTGTCAAATGTTATTTTATTATTTAAATAGAGCGTTAAATGGTTGTAATTATTCAAAAAAAAAAAAGTTGAAACAAAATTCTTATTGGTTGAAATGCTAGTGGAATAAGGGACTCGCCATTAAAATGAATTAAAAATAAATTTGACATTAATGTCAAATTTGACTCAAAATCACAAAGCCTTCAAATCTAATTAGCAAATAACACTTCGGTTGGAGAGATTTTTTATATCAAATATGCACAGTGGCATTCCATCTAGGATTTTGACATCTCCTTTGGAGATGCTCTAAAGGATCAGATTTAGGTGTGGCTCACCCGAGTCATGGATGAATTAAGACTGTTGAAGGATCAAAATGGGTTTTGACAAAATTCGAATTATTCCAAGAATTAAAACATGTGGCAGATCAGATAAGGAATTAATTAAGGGGACTAGGTTCATAATCCTAGTCCAAGTCTAAGAGGCCGATACTAGATAGAGATAGAGTATCGGCAAGAGAGGAGTCTAATGAGATTAGTGTCGAGATATCAAGGTGCGTGTCAATAAGCCACAGTCCTAATAGGGTTCTACCACTCGGGACACTTGGTCATCACGAAATTTATCCTTATAAACAAATGGTTTTGCAATGTATAAAATTTCTTCAACTCAACACAAATAAATGCTACATGCGAAACTCTCTCACATTCCTGAGAAAAATACTAATTGCTTCACTAACTCTCATCGAGACATATTCAAATCGGTTAAACATCACTTGGTTGAGAAACCAGTGCCATATTTAGTTTGGTTAAACATCATTTGAGTCTTAGAATCGTTCTATCGAAGAATGCCTTCAGTTTGGTTAAACAACACTACTTCTATTCCAGTTGGTTATCTATCCAAGTCTTTGTCAGCAAAAAGCCCTTGATTCTCTCGCTGGACAAGGTCACTTCACTAGCTTTCTTGGCAAAGTGATGTGTTACGAGGGTAATTAGTGTTTGGCACATTGAAAGCCGAACTATTATTGAGCATTACAATAAAAGACCTAAAAGATATAACCTTATCTTCAGGGTAGCAAAACCTTAGGCCAAAAGAATTCCTTCCTTAATCAAAATTGTCGGTATAGAAATCAGGATTGGGTTTCATCACCACATTACCCGAGCACGTTTCATTACATTTAAATTTAGGCCATCTCCAACCTTACATAGCCCCCGTACCAAATTATAGTCATATAAGAAATTATTTTTTTAATGAACACTGTCAGACCATATTTATACACCATCTCCAACATAAGGGATTTATTATTTTTAAGTTTGTTCTTTAACTTTATTGGTTAATTGAATTAAACTACCATATTTATAAATGAGTAACTTTTAATATTTCTTATCTTTATGTAATCTTAATAATTTTTTGGAATGCTATGTTTGTTTTGCTTAAAAAAATTTGGAAAAAAATTAATTAATTTTTCATATAGGAGTTTAAAGAATGTGAAGAATAGAAATAAAATGAGGTAAAATAGTATGGAATAGTGAAAATAATGTGACAAATGGTGTAGAAATGACTTAGATACTTATAGAAAAAAAAAATTAGAATATATTTTTTTTTTAAATTTCGTCTTAAAAAAACAAAAACAAAATTCAAATCCAATGGCTTGCTGACGTCAGCCAGCATGTGAGTTGCTGATAGCTGGCCCATCATTTCGGGTTGGCTGGCTGGCTTCAATTGCCCAGCCCGATGGCCATGGGCTGGAATTTGGCCCAGTGGATCCCCTTTTTCCTTTGACTTGGACCTTTATTAGAGATGATTTTTTCTTCGTTTCGAGCTATAAAAGTGCCTATAGCTCTATAACCTGATGCATTGGAAATGACCTTTATACTATGTTTGGATGAAGAAATTTAAGATTATTAAGGAATTTTAAAATGATGGAAATTGAAATGAAGGGATTTTATTTTCTAGAATTTGTGAATTTTCTTATTTGGTTAACATAAAAGAACAATGAAATTGGATACGGATTTTGTTATTTTTAAACTCTTAATTATAGAAATTGAGATATGACACGTATATACATAAAATTTAAACTTGGGAATTGTAGGTCTCAAATTCCAAGTTGCTCTTCCACGCGTAAATTCTAAATTTCTATATTTATCAATCCAAATAAGAGAATTGGCGTATATCAATTTAAAATTTTGATTTTTAGCTAAATTCTAAATTTATTTGTCCTGTTCAAAAATAGTGTTAAGTCCCAAAACATTTTCTATTTTCAAAAATGAGAAAAATCAGCACACTTTTCAAACAAGAGAAAAAAAGGCACACTACTCATAGGGTGTCCCTCACCTCCCTCCGTCTCCGCCTTCTATTTAATGTTCTCGGCGGTCCAACCGCCGTAAATTGCATTCGGTCCCCTTCACTCGGATAGGGATCATTCAGTCAATTAGGGTTTCACTGCAGCACAAGAAAGAAGCTCATAAACTTCCATTTTGAAATCGATGGCGTCGTTTGGGTCTTTAAAATCTGCAATCTTCGACAGAGAAGAGAGAAAACAGTAGCTTTCCCCCCTCTTTTGTGACTTTCGCTGTCCAATTTTTCTTTCAATTTTGAATTTAATCTCTTGTTTTTATGGGAGATTTTCAGGCAGTACCAGGCTCATATTCTCGGCCTCAACGCTTACGACCGCCACAAAAAGTTCGTCAAAGATTACGGTGCGATTGTATAATTCATATATTTATATATATGATCAAATTATAATTTGGTTTCTACTATGAAGAACTGTCAAAGTTCAGAACTTTTTCATTTGTAAGTGAATTAGAGCTAATTAGTGTTAAGAAGGGACAGAAAGGAAGCATTCGCAAATAGTGAGCTCTTTATTTGTTGAATCCTAATGTCCTAGAGCAAATGGATGATGAACAGTCTCCTCCAATTAGAAGGAAGGGAGGCTACAGTTGTCCATACAAATACTAAGAATTTATGTTAACGTTGACGGGGGAGCTCCTCCGTTGATGGTTGGTGCCACATCCTATCGACTTGTGGAGTAGTGTCACTGCTTTTATTATTTGGGATTCGCCATGAGACCCACATTTGCCCACTTTTTATAGAAACATGTGAGCTGAGTAAGCTTCTGGATCGTTGGGGAAGGTAGCTATAGTACTAGTCATATGCTTAGTGGTAGACTTTGGAGTTATTATATGCTTTATAGCCACGTTGGACGCTTCACTATTAACGCCATTTGGGTATCAAGGTTTTATTGTGTAATCTTTTTGTCCATGTGAACTGTTTTTCTCTCTCTTGGTGTTGTTTCTTAGAAATGATTTTGTTGTCAGCTCTTTCTTGTCTTTTGGTACTGCAGTATATGTACGGCTTTGTTTTCTTGTTCAATACTGTGTAGTCCTTTTGCTTTTATCATTCCTGTTAGTTGTTTCTGTATGATTCAACTTTGGCAACTCTTGATGAATACTTTATGTTGCAGTTAGCTTTTATGGTAGAGAAGCATCTTCACATGTCAAGCTGCCGGTTAAAACTGATCACGACACCCTGAAGGTTACTGGTATGTAAGTTGTATTCCTTGTTCTTTAATGTGGTAGGTTGCATCAACATTTTTAAGGGTAACGTTTGTCTGAATAATTTGTATGTGATAGGTTCATAAGATCCGAGGAAGATGATATGGACCGATCTCGGGAGCAAAGACTGGTAAAGCGATACTATGAAGAGCTGTTTAAAGAGTATCCTTTGCAAACTGTTGCTAGTTTTCTGCAATTGGGTTGAAAATTGAAATTTATTATTATCAGCTTGTTTAGCCTATTGATTCTTTGTTTCTTCGGGTATACTTGATAGATATTGGTGAAGTATATCTTCAATTTGAGAGAAGGAATATGGGTGGGAACTGAATTCTTGTGCTTGTCATGTATACTGTTGGGAACGGGCAGGTTGGTATACAAAATAGTTTGTTGCTTCCATATTATATCTGGAAAGTAGATGGGCTGAAAATGGAATAGATTGCTTCATTGATTATCTCCTTAACCTTGTTCAAGATACTGCATGACATGTCACACTACAAGAGTGGTAAGGTCAGTAGTTAAAAGATACACAAAATTCTGAAGATCATGTTTTTGTTTTTGTTGTAGTTCGAGTATAGGGACTTCTTAAATTCTACCGCCTATCTTTTTATCAAGGAGAATCTTGTTTTCTAGTTTTTATGTTTTAGCCCTTATCAGAGGTTTTTCACCTTTCTGACCTCATGGTTTATTTGTTTTTTCTAAGGTCAATATTTCCAATTCACTTTTAGAAAATGCAAAATATAATATGCTAGTCTTGCTAGATTTTATGTCTGAATGAAATTGTCAGAGGTTATCAATTTTACTTGAAAAATAAGGAAATTGAAGTAAGGTTATAATGTTTTAACTCTAAAGAAATGGTTAAAATACAACATATCCGTTTAAATGCTAGATAAAACATTTTAGTTTTGATCACTTGATAGTATATAGTCGTTTATTGCGACTCTAATGAGGTCCTTAAAGAGATAGCCTTTGAGTCATTGTTTATCCATGATTTTTTTTTTTTTCCTCTGATGTAAATGACAAGTGACGTTATGTTAAAAGTAATGCTTTCTGATTTCCTAAAATTTTTCCTATAGATTGGTCTAAGGGTGGAGGACAGAAAAGGAGGTCACATCTGGTAAAGGTAATGTTATTCTCTTCGTTGACTACAAAGGTACCCCTATCATCTAACTTCTCTTAGATGTTAAGTGGATTTCTTTTGTATAGAAAACTAATAATTAAGAACAAATATAATTTGAATATAATTAAGATCACTTGGTGTTTATTGGAAGACAAGATTTAGTAGTGTGTAAATCTTCCAATTTCTAGTGTAAGTCGATTGTCACATGTATATAGGAGGTTGTTTCCTTAAAATTTTCAATTTAAATTATGTAATTCTTTTTCCTTTGTTTTGAAAACGGTGATTTTTGAGTTTTTCAAAATTATTTCTCTTGCATTTGGTAGTTGACATGGCACCATATTGTTCTTCATAGAATAACGATTGCCAATTGGCCTCAATAATGGCCGAGATGCTCTTATTATTTTATTATTCTTGACTCTCAAGAAAGCAAAGGGAAAAGAGGCTCATCCACTTCCAAGAGAAAACGTTCCACATGCAAACTTAAAACTTCTAGTTCGACCCTGTTTGACTAAATTCTTATTTGGAACGTTATATTGTGTATCAATTTATTCAAAGTGGAAGATTGACTTGATAATGTTTTCTGACAGGGCAGTTAATATGTGGTAACAGACATTGTGATGTAAAGATGATTTAGCAAGCTATGAGGCAAGTTTCTGCATTAGTCAGTCATAGCTAACTGATCTAAGTATTTGATGGGGTGTGAAATTAATTGAATCATTTTAAAAGGCAATCTTTTAAGGGTACTGCTATCCATACACCCCCCTGATTGAATGAATTGAAGAAGATCAATGGCCAAAAATTAACAAGGATGTGTGGAAAGTAAAAATGGGTGCTCAAATAGCACTATCCTCTATTAATTGTCCATTTAATGTTAATGTAGGAGGAGTGTGTTGTGGCAAAAGTTTGTATATAAATGTAGCATTCCATGTGATTATAATTTCAAGTCTGCTTCTCCTTCCAGTTAACAGTTTGCTTATGATTATTTTCATTAGAATCTGAACTGTTTTAGGCATTGTGCTCATTTGGTTTATATATATATAGAGGGGTGTCAACGGAAGAGTAGAGTAGCTTCTATTTGAATTGAAACAACTACACATTTATTTCAAACAGTTGTAGTCTGGTTACAGGGTTAGATTCAAGTGTAGGAGGTGAATTGGTTGCTTCTTATGGTGGACTCCTGTAAATTTTCATTGGTTGGGGATGTTCAAGTTTCCTATGCATAGATAGAATATCACATTTTTGCTTGCATATGTTACCGGTCTCCTGTTACATGTTTTATGACTTGGTTAGACAAGAAGCATACTAAGGAGTTGGTTGAAGTCTAAGTCAATAAATAGTTTTGATAAGATGAACTACCTTGTGGCGTCTAGACTGAAACTTTTTCCCCTGCTCTGAACTTCTATCTTAAATGAGGAAATTTTTTTATTCATCTTTTGTATTCGATCTGGATTAGGAGTCCCAAAGATCGCTTTCCCTGCATCTTTTATCTATATTTATGCCACATAATAAGTTTTTGTGTCTTAGTTGTTTTAGGTATTATATATTTTGCAGCTGATGAAGCTGGAGAAAACAAACAAGCCCTTGTCAAATTGGTAACTTGACAGAGGTTAGTCCGTATTTATCATTACTGTTTTAGGCTCTCTGTATTTTTTTTTTGGTCACTTCCTTTTATAAGTTTAGAAGGTATTTTTCTAGCTCATCAAGTTTAATTTACTAATTAATTTTTGTTATGCCTGCTGTTAATTCCGTTGCTTGGAGTCATTAGATGTCACTTTGTTTGCATCTTGATCAATTTGACATATTAAAAATGACTCTTATTGTCTTCTTTTTGATGTTTGGATTAAACGGTTCTCTTAAATGATAAGCTTGAAGATCATTTATATCATGTTATGGTTTTCAAAAACTAATAATTTTACATGCGGAGATGACAATGTTTTTATCAAGATTGCAAATGTATGAACATGTTTCTTTAGATTACGGGTTTTTAGAGAGAGTATGTGCCTATCATGTCCCTTGGTTCTGCATGTTTCTGTTCAAGGAGAATCGCATTCTTTTAATGGGATCGTTCAACATGGCTATAAGGATGACACATCATTCTTCTTTTTATGCCGTTTCATACTCATAATTTTCATTTTACACCGGTTCGAATTTTTTATTTTTTATTTTTTTGCAGGGAGAAAGGCTTCAATCTCCGCTAGTGAACATAGAGTTGATGACACAGATAATTTTGAAGAGTATCTCGAGGGAATGTTTCCTTGATACTTGCCAGTTGAGGGCGGTCATATCTGGTGTTCAGTATAAGAGAAGGAGATGCGTTCAGTGTCATTGCAAAGCCTATTGAACAAAGAACTTGATAAGATGGTTGAACAGCATGATATAATGAAGTAATGTGCGCCCCAAGATAAGCTAAGAACCCATTTTCGAAGACAACTAGAACTAGAAGGTGCAAAACTAGACGTAGAAGGTGCACGGGGACAATACAACAGCAATGCTGGACATTGTTTGTAATTTGAATGCAGTAACGACTGAATTGTGTTCTAATCGTCACCTCACCTCACTAAATGTATTATGGCTTGTATATATTTGTTCTATAAGCTAATAAAAAGGCGATCCCAAACTAATAAGGCTTCCCGCTTTGCGAGGGTCAGGGGAGGAACGCCTAATGTATTTCTTTCTTTCAAGTAAATATAATTTGTTCTATAAGCTAATATTAGAGGAAAATCATTCTTTCTTTCAAGTAAACATAATTGTCAGAAAAACCAATGGGGATTTATTTCAGATTATTTGTGCTTTTATGTGAACGTTCTTTTATGGTATAAGTATTCTATATTCGATATTATGCGAAACAAATGTTAAATAATAGAGCTACAATCCTAAAGGAAAACCTTCCAACAATAAAATTTGCATCTGGAAATTACAATAATATTAGAAGAAGAACAAGAGTAAGACCATCAAGTTACAGATAGAAGAAAAATAAAAGAAGAAGAGATGGAAGGAGCATTAATTCATGACCGAAGAGTTGGCAGAAACCAGATTGATTTTTGCTTGGTCATATTCAATAGTGTCAATGCATGTGGGGTGTAAGGCTTTGAAATGCTTTGAGTCTTTAAGTTATACACACCATAGTCTTGGCGATTCCATTCTATATATTGCCAATCCGAGTTGAAGTATATGCAATCCGGCTGACATCCTGGTAACTTTGAGGTCAAAACAGATGCCGAATCGTTAGCCCCCACAAAGAGAGCAACATCACCCAAACTTGTCATCTCGATCCACTTACTTTCCTCAGAGTTCCATCTAAAAATCTCAAATTTTTGTGTCACAAAGCTGGGGTATCGCCGTCTGTTCCCTTCTTTTCTTTCCATCCTGAAGCACCTTTTCACCATTAAAACTTCTTTCTCGTTGAGATCCACGAGATATCTCTTCCGAACTATACGTTCTTCAATAATTTTCCCATCTAGGTTAAGTCTATCAGACCTATCGATGCAATAAACTTTATCTCCAACATGAACAACATCATCAATGAAGTGCCACGTCCTATGTTCACGATAGGTCCAAGTTTTATCTTTACCAGGTCTAACAGAAGCCAATAGATAACGATCCCCGAATATGACCTCAACAATACATTCATCTGCGTTTAAAACCGGATCTGCTGAAAGAGTAGCCTTGTGAACATAACGGTCGTATCGTCGAGCCCAGTACATAGTGCGTGTAGGACAAGGAGGCATCAGTGAAGGAAGGCGAATGATTGAATTTTCATTCTCTTCACATCCTTGAATCCTTGCGAACGGATTCATTAAGGTCACCGCGAAATTTTCATCGACGGTCACAAGCCATCCTTTTGAAGACCCACAAAATCGTTTGTTCGGCAACCTTAACCGTAAATCATAGACCTTATCCTTCTCGACGTTGTATACATTCCATGCATCCTGTTTGCCACCACTGGAAACTAAGAGCATTGGGGCTGGCCGTCGAGGATTATCCTTTGTTACACTACTCCATGACATACAAACAAGACTGAATCTCAAAAAGTCATCCGATGCAAGTTTCTCTAACACTAAATCCAGAAGGTGGTTAGGCAAATTTTTCCAATCTGAAAAGGCAAAATTAAGGAAAAATTGGATAAGAAAGAAAGATGATGGAAATTAAACAACTGAAAAAAAAAAAAACAAGTTGGTCGAGCGGATGCAGCATTAGTGATCGATGTACAACTCAGTCATCATAACCATGCATAAACATGGAAATTAAACAGCTAAACCAGGAGGCTTAAACAAAACAAAAACGCCTCTGATGTACAACCTATTTTCTACTGGTTTGAAGAGGAAGAGAGAGAAGAGAAACATACATACCTGAATCCATAGCTCTCAGAAAAGGCTTTTGGTTCTGCTTTTTTTTTTTGGGTGAGAAAACCTAGGAGAAGATTGAAGGGTCTTTTGGTTCTGATTTTTTTTTTTTTTTTTTTTTTTTTTTTGGGGTGAGAAAACATAGGAGAAGATTGAAGGGTTCTCAGGTTTCTATGGAGAGAACCAATGCGCAGGCAGTTTAGTCCCTTAAAGAATAGGAATAGCTCCCCTATTAGAATTAGGAAATATATCTGCCAAATTAAATAGTTTATATTTCCCAACCACAAAAAAATTATGGGGAAACTTGATATGAATCTAATTTTGTGAGTCATTTTTTAGATGAGTCCAATTATATTCCATGTCAGTTTTTTTTCATTTTCATACCAATTTACCCCTAAAATTACTTATAAGTAATCAGTATTATCCCTTGATATTAGGATTAGTATTTGTGATAAGTTTTACCTATTTGAGGTTTAAAGAATACAATTCTCTTAATGATAGGATAGTTGTTGGCTTGTTGGAATAAAATTACTTCCTATATATCTCAAAGTGAGGATACGCCTCCTCATTTATTCTTCATTTATCTATTCTTTCTTTTTACTTTGTTATCTAAAACCTTTTTCTTAGTTAGGATTTATCATTTACCTTGCGAATGTTCTTCTTCTTTGTCATTGTTCAGTTTTACTCTTCTTTTCTTAGGCTTCCACTATATATGAAATTTGATTCTGTTTGATCAAAGAATGGAGGTTGGTTGGCTTCTTTCATCAAATTGCTTTTTGTGTTCAAATTAGTTAATTTGGTGGTCAAAGTTGGATCTTCATTTGAGTTGTATTTTTACTCAAATTAATTGATTTCATGGCCGATATTTATCTACCTCTATCACAAGATTTTGTTATATAACCTACCTCAATTATAGGCATATTATATTTTTCAATTTTTATTATCTATATCTATCACAAATTACTTCCATATGTTTTCCTATATTACATAGTAATTTATCTTGCTTATAGGTAGGTAAATTGTGTATTTGTACCTTTCAGTTCGTTTATCTACCTATTGATTAGATATATTTTCTTCGTTTGACATCGTACTTATAGGTATATGTACATTTATGTATTAGTACCTTTTAATTAGGTTGTATATTTTTGCAACTTAATCTATGATAAAAATAGTTTATTTTATTAAAAGGTAAAGAATTGAAACGTTTTTTTAAATGCTTGGTAGATTGCAGATGTTTAAATCTTCAAAATTTGAAAACAAAGGGTAAAATAGGTTTAAAAAAATAGTTAAGTGGACCTAAATCAGAAATTTCAAAAAATTGGATTACAGACAATAGTACGTCAATTTTTTGGACCTATATCTTAAGGGAAATTTAACAAAAAGCTCTCGGTATTGTTCACTTTAATGATAAACCATATTTTTATACTAAAAAGTCAATCTTATACTATTTACTTTACATTTATTTTATCTTTATCGTTAAAACTCAAAGTTTTAAACATTTTTCATTAGTTTTTAAATGCTTTGAGTCTTTAAGTTATACACATCATAGTCTTGGCGATTTCATTCTATATATTGCCAATCCGAGTTGAAATATATGCAATCCGGCTGACATCCTGGTAACTTTGAGGTCAAAATAGATGCCGAATCGTTAGCCCCCACAAAGAGGGCAACATCACCCAAACTTGTCATCTCGATCCACTTACTTTCTTCAAAGTTCCATCTAAAAATTTGGAATTTTTGTGTCACAAAGCTGGGGTACCGCCGTCTGTTCCCTTTTTTTTCCATTTTGAAGCACCTTTTCACCATTAAAACTTCTTTCTCGTTGAGATTCACGAGATAACTCTTGCAAACCATACATTGTTCAATAATTTTCCCATCAAGGTTAATTCTATCAGATGTATCGACGCAGTAAACTTTATCTCCAACATGAACAATATCATCAATGAAGTGCCACGTCCTATGTTCACGATATATACGTCCAAGTTTTATCATTACCAAACCTAATAGAAGCCAATCGAAACCATCCCCGAATATGACCTCAACAACAAATTCATCTGCATTTAAAACCGGATCTGCTGAAATTGTAGCCTTGCCAACATAACAATCGTATCGTCGAGCTCAATACTTGACACGTTGAGGATGAGTAGGCATCATTGAAGGAAGGCGAGTGACTGAACTTTCATATTCTTCACATCCTTGAATCATTGCGAACAGATTCATTAAGGTCACCGCAAAAGTTTCATCAACAGTTACAAGCCATCCTTTTGAAGACCCACAAAATCGTTTGTTCGGTAACCTTAATTGTAAATCATAAACCTTATTATTCTCGACGTTGTATACATTCCATGTATCCTGTTTGCCACTACTGGAAATGAAGAGCATTGGGGCTGGCCGTTGAGGATTATCCTTTGTTACACTACTCCATGACATACAAACAAGACTGAATCTCAAATAGTCATCCGATGCAAGTTTCTCTAAAACTAAACCTAGAAGGTGGTTAGGCAAATTTTTCCAATCTGAAAAGGCAAAATTAAGGAAAATTTGAGTAAGAAAGAAAGATGATGGAAACAAAACAACTAAAGAAAACAAATTGATCGAGCGAATGTAGCATTAGTGATCGATGTACAACTCACTCATCATAACCATGTATAAACATGGAAATTAAACAACTAAACCAGGAGGCTGAAACTAAACAAAACAAAACGCCTGTGATGTACAACCAATTTTCTACTGGTTTGGAGAAGAAGAGAGTGAAGAGAAACATAGATACCTGAATCCATATAGCTCTCAGAGCATTAAGCAGAGGCTTTTTTTAGGTGAGAAAACGTACGTAGGACAAGACTGAAGGTTCTAAGGTTTGCTCCAGTTTTATATAGAAGATAACTCATGTGC